ACGTCTGACTGGTGAGGCGTTGACGTAGACACCGGTGAGGGCAGTCAGTCTCACAGCTAGCAACTACGTTGTCACCAGTCATATAGCTACGCCACCTGCTAGGCTGTCACCAGTCACACGACTACGCCACCTGCTAGGCTGTCACCAGTCACGGGCGCGCGGTGTTCAGAGCTGTTGGTTTATTGCTAGGTGGTGGTTTTTGTAATTAAACCCCATCATAATGAGTCGGAAACGAAGCCAAAACTGCGATAGTGAGAGCGACTCAGGCGGGTCGGTGGCGACTCTTGCGAGCAAAAATAATAGTGAGTGTTAAGTGTAACAAAACATTCCTTGGTGGAGAATTTTGCGAGTGGGTCGTTCGAAGTAATAGGGACCAGCCTGCAGGATGGGGCATTTTGTAAATACAGTACTGTGAATGTGAAGTACAACGGAGTATTACGCATACAGAAAGGCACTAAAAAACGGGAAAACACGTTAAAAATGCTAATTTAATACATAAAATTCCAATATTGGCCAACTATTTACAAACAGGAGCATTGGTATAAACAAGTGGATAATGGGGAAGCGGTTATACTTGTAAGCAGGAGGTAAGTAATGTATATCTAATTATATTTTACTCTACAATTATTAAGTTTCAAATTGTAAAGATGGTACTGGTTGTCAAATTTGGTACTTTTTAGGTAGCAATTTTGGCATAATTATTAAAATACTTTTATCAGCCCAGTCGCATATGTTTGTATTCATATCTAAGGTTAAAATATTAGGTTTTAAAGCAGTTTATTTGGCTAATGTGTGAGCTTGTCATTAGCCAAATAAAACGCCTCTCGTTTTGATAAGAGTCGTTGAAGGTAGAACTACTAAAGCCAGAGTGCAGTGCATTGGGGGGGGGGTCAGTGCGTGAAACTCTGATTAGGCTTCCGTAGAAGCCTCAAGACCCTAGAGGATTCAGTGGAATCCCAGATTACATTGCCTTTACTATGGTGTAGTAAAGGGCGTTTGTTTGAGAACCAAGTAAGCGGGTTCGAATCCTTCTCATGGCTTCTATTGATTTTCTCATTGATACATCACGTTAATGTGCTTTCATTGTGCATTAGTCTGTTTTATTTTTCATTAACTCATAGGCTATGCATATTATTGTTAATTATTGTTAAGTTTACTCTTTGTAAGCCAGAAGGAATAGTTAAAACGCGAAACTTTGCAGCGATTGATATTTGTTTGGTGATATGTGGATCGGAGTCGGCCTCCTTACTCCTCTTTAAGATGGATTGACCCCCCATGGCACCTTTCATTAAGTCTATGGATATGAAAAGTTCGGTGCCGAAATCATAGCGATTTATAGTTTTCATAGTACTGCAGAATTCAGATATTGACATGCAAGGTACATATTCAGATGGCAAATTTTGCATTCCGGGGGTCTCCCAACACATAAGTAGCACATCCTTTTGGGGTCGACCCGGGTACCGCTGGGTACCCCCATCTAGTAATTTATAAACGAACTATTTTCGAAACTAAAATAATTAAGGCACAAATACACAGGAGCCTTGATTGAGGGTTCCCAGACGCGGTCTAGTCAAATGTTCCACAACATGGTAAAATAATTGCCACCTGGATTGCTACGGCACCCACGAGGGTCCCGAGGCTTCCAATGAAGCCTAACCGAGGTTTCACACACTCTTCCCCCCCCTCCCATGCACTCGGCAACCCGTTCCCGCAAATTTAATAAGTCAATATTGACTTATTAAATATGTGCATAGGTGACATACTTAACATAATAGCTACCCTTAAAAAGATTCATAGAAAACACCGACCTTACCTAACCTACTTAGTATGTTAAGATAAGCATCTTATTGCTTCGTAATTACAATTATTACCTAACCTATAATAGGTATAGGTTAAGTAATAATTGTAATTACGAAGCAATAAGATGCTTATCTTAAGATACTAACAAGGTTAGGTAAGGTCGGTGTTTTCTATGAATCTTTTTAAGGGTATCTATTATGTTTAGTATATCACCTATGCACGTAGTTAATAAGTCAATATTGACTTTACGAATTTGCGAGAACGGGTTGGCACTCGGACTCTGTCGACCAGTAGTACTACCTCTGACACTCCTCCTTCAATACGCAGAGAAATCGCGTTAACGTGATATAATGTGATTTCTCTGCGTATTGAAGAAGGAACGCAAGAGGTAGTACTACTGGTCGACAGAGCCCGTGTGCATGAGAGAAATTGTGAGAAACCTCCGTTAGGCTTCATTGAAAGCCTCGGGACCCTCGTGAGTGCAGTAGCAATCCAGGTTGCAATTATTTTACCATGTCGTGGCACATTTGACTAGAGCACGTCTGGGAAACACTCAGCGCACAGGTTCGAACCCTCATTAAGGCTCCTGTGGATTTGTTCTTTGATATATCACGTTTGTGATTCCTCTGTGTACTAAACTAATTGTTAAATTAATTACTTAGTGTCCATAAACTCTGAAGGATATCAAAACAAAGTGAACTTCTCTCGAATAATAATTTATTTACATTAAAATAAACATTAGCAAAAGATGTTCGTTAAAATTTTATTATGAAAAAACATAGAATAGTTTAGCTTTAAGTCGGGATTATACATGCAGGATTATACACCAAAGTGAAATCTGAGATGATCACTCGTGCGGGGTTATACATGTAGGCGAATCCTCTTACTGGTTTATACTCCCTAGTGAAGGTTCATGTGGGATTATATATGGAGATGAACGCTCATGCAAAGCCACATTCGGGTTCCTACATACGCGAGAACTCATGCAGGTTTATACATGCGGGTGAAACTTTACTGTGGCTACACATGCTGCGAGTTTTCAAGCGCCGGGCTTATAAATGCGGGAGCAGGCAGTCTCATGCAGGATTATATTTGCGGGTAAAGACTCACGTGGGAGATTATGTATGCAGATAAAGCTCTATGCTTGTTTATACATGTTGGTGTACTTATGAAGCGGTATCTCCTATTCATATGGTTTCACCGCCTTCCGCTTGGTCCTGAGCAGTAGCAGGAGGTAGCCTATGAAGCGGAACCCGATGATCAGAGCGAACAGGAGACCAATGTCCAGCCCCAAGTTGTCCTGAAGGTTTAGGGAAAGATTAACACCCACTCTTCTGTGAATGACTTCAGCACTGTCAAAGTGGCTCGTAATTATTAAACGCTAATCATATACATGCTCCTTTAATTAATGAAGGTGCGTTAAATTAATGTGTCACCATATTTAAGTGATAGTTGGCCATAGAATAAAAGAGTAAATGATTGATTGTTGTTACGAATTAATTTGACTGATACTGATTGTAGACCTTTTCAGAGAGAATAAACTCTTCTTCCTTGCTTGCCTCTTTAATCTAGACTAACCTACATATTAAAGGGGCTGTATACGGAAACCCATCCGGCCTCTCTCCCAGTCAGCTGTCATTGGATATTTCCCAACCCATCCATCAAAATTATTGTATTTACAGCAGCTATATTTTCGACCGTACAAAAATATTGTTACAGCCAATAAAGTCCACATTCTGAACTGTTAATTTTGTAGAGGGCACGAAAACCTACATTTTTTAGGCGCAGAATAAAATATATATGTACTAACTAAACTAGGCCTAATATAGCGTATATTAGATCCAGGATTATTTATCTAGGCTTTGGACAGGTTAGGTTAAGTTCATTAGTTATTTAACATTTTTTAAAGTGACATTTGGGTTAATCCAATTGCACGAAACGGGAACTTTAATTTAGACCTAACAACAATTTTTTTTTATGTTTGACCAAATAGTTGTTATAGGTACTATTATCATTGGAGGATGGGCTGATATTTCCATATGAAATCCTACTTACAAATAGTTTTACAATACATTTTAGTTCTTGCCAATGTTTCCTCTTACCATACAGTGTCTTCACTAACCATGCAGTGTGCCCTGTTACTATACAGTATACCCACTAAAAATACAATGTAGCCACTAACCATACAATGTGGCCACTAGCCATACAACGATGTCCTCTTACCTTACAATGTGTCCACTAACTATGCCTTGTGATAAATAACAATACAGTGTGTCCTTTTACCAAACAATATACCCACACCATACCAAACCCACCAACCATACACTGTGTCCTCTTACAATCCAATGTGCTCACTAACCATACAATGCGCCCTCTTATCATACAATGTGTCCTCTTCCCATACATTGTGTTCACTAACCATATAATGTGTCCACTAACAATACAGTGTGTCCACTAACCATACAGTATGCACACTAACCATACAATGTGCCCACTAACCATACAATGTGCCCACTAACGAGACACTGTATCCTCTTACCATACAATGTATCCTCTTTCCATTGTGTCCTCTTATTATACAATGTTTCCTCTTACAAATACATCTGGACAAATACAACACCTAAGATTCATTAGTAAAAACAAAAACAAAAGAATCCAATGCTTTTGCATTTCATAAAGTATTACTTTACCTTTTTTCCATATAATCATATTTCCCTATTTTTCCTTATTATATCCCTGACATAATTAGTTTAGTGAGGGATTGAATGTTAGTTTAGTGTTGGAAGGGATTTAATATTTATTTAGTGAGAGAAAGAATTTAATATTCATTCAATGAGAGAAAGTTCAATCAATGTCAGGTCTGACTGAATATTCAATTGATGACGTGTTAAATATTAATTGTGAGAATAAATTTTACATTCATGTGTCAGAGATTTGAATACGATTTCACTAGCGTCTTGGGTTGAGAGTATTCTAACAATCAAAGCTTATACTTGCTAAACTCTTTCAGCGCGTCTCCTGTAAACAGAAAAAATACTAGGCTTCATTTTTGTACTTTGTTGTGACTGCTTGTGAGAATGAGCACAACTTACCTTGTTGTATCCAAGTCTCTCGATGACATCCAGTCCTGTGTGATAACAGAGTGTGTTGTTTTTCTCACACGGTATATTGTCAATATCGGACCACTGATTGATCATCAACGCCTCGTTGCCATAGTTGAACCACGAGATGTACTTGATCCATACGAAGTATACGGGTACCGATCTGTGGAGAAGAGGATAGGATGTACAAGGGTACAATATGTGTAAGTAAGTACCTGGGAGTTGATAGACAGTTGTGGGGTTGCATGCTGGGGAAGAGCAGTAGTTGTCCCAGAGGAAAAGCATATTTGTCAAATAACAAACTGTTATACAATAGTTAACATGTTAAGAACACAGTTTGGATATATTCATTCTTGCTTTGCAAATTTCTAATCTCTTCGTTTGTATGATTAAAATTAAAATATTTTGCAATAACATTTATTGTTTAAAACACACGTGTTTTTAATCCTAAAAACATGAATTTGTGCATAATAATTTTGGCGATGGACTCTGATCCAAAATACACTAGTTTTATGTATAAAACTGAGTAACAGTAAAATAATAAATATAGCCTCATCGCTGGTGAAGAATCCAAACGATTGTTTGTTTCCATAAATTTATTAAATCCATAATATTAATTGAGTGTTGTGCTAAGGCCTATCAATAACTTGAAGGTTATTAAGGCCACAACAATAGCTTACTGACCAACAAGCAAGTATACATTAGCCCTGAACAATGTCCAGGAAAAGTAAACTCTCAGTATATATATCCCTTGAGAAGCTGAGTAGACCTCGCAGTGTATATATTCCTTCCATTAATTGGAACTAATCCTAAATAACTGATGTATGCCAACCAAGTGCTGAAATGTAATAAAATCGTGTTGTATTGAGAAAACTAAGAATCTATTCTAAATATTATCCTAAGACTGGATGAGTTAGATTCATTTATATATAATAAGAGATGTGACAAGCAAGAAGCTCTAATACAAATGTATGGTGGACTACCCACAGCTCTCTGGGACTTGGCCTCAGAGAACACTCACAGAAAGGGATGTATTAAATACAAAATCTCTGCTCTGATGTATCCATTGAATTTCTCAGCCCGACCTCCTAAAATGAAAGTACTTACTGGTATTTGTCGACCCCTATTAAGTAGTAGTGAACCACCAGAAAGTTAAATTTTGTACTGTTGAATTTGGACAAACCGGAAACTTTTTTATTAAGCTCCAATACTACACATTGGTACTCTCGACCAATTAGCTACAAGAAGTACTAGCATTCCAGGAGGACGGATTGCAGTTTGTTGATTCCCGGGCAGGATGGAGACGTTTGGGCACGTTTCCTTACACCTGAAGCTCCTGTTCATCTTGCAATAAATAGATACCTGGATTATGGGTAACTGTTGTGGGTTGTACCCTGAGGAAGGTCATTAGATGCCCTAGGGACCTCGATAAGCCTAACAGGCCTCCATCCCCCCCCCCTTTAACTGTAGTGAGTAATATACGGTACTTCTAGGAATTATTTTTTACTTTTCAGTGTGTTATTTGCACATCATTGAGTCGCTTGTTCGGTTGTTTTTAGTATTTTCTCTTTTACTTCCCCTCCCAACCCTTTTTCCCTGTTGTCGGGGACAGGAAGCCTGTACATATGCTTCCCGCGGTCCCCTAGGGCACCTACTGACCAGGATGATACAACCAACTATAATTACCCAACTCCTGGTTACACATTTACTGACAGGTGAACAGAGTCATCAGGCGAAAGGGTACGAGGCCAACCGTTTCTGTCCTAGCCGGGGGATTGATCGCGAGTCCCTCGGTTGTGAACCCAAGACCTAGACCACTGTGCTACAGTACTCCTCTTGTACCGCTAATATGCTCTACTTACTCAGCATTGAGGAAGAATCCACCAAAGAGCATGAGAGGAATCAGGAGAGGAGCGGAGATGGCCAGGGCCATTGGGACGCTCGTGGCCAGACACGACACCATGTACCCTGTCACAGGAAGAGAGAAGGTCAGGTCACTGTCGGGAGAACACGGCAAGAATTGAAATAAGTTTATTGAGGTAAAATACACACAAAGGGATGAGGTAGCTAACACGGCAAGCCAGCATGTCTACATAAACTTGGAAGGGATACGAGGACATTGATGATGACCAGACCACACACTAGAAGGTGAAGGGACGACGACGTTTCAGTCCGTCCTGGACTATTCTTAAGTCGATTGTGACAAGTCGACAGGTGACAATCGACTTGAGAATGGTCCAGAACGAACCGAAACGTCGTCGTCCCTTCACCTTCTAGTGTGTGGTCTGGTCAACATACTTTAGCCACGTTATTGTGACTCTTCGCCTGCATACGAGGACACCTTACAGGCGGGGGGGGGGAAGGGGTAGAAATAGCCTAAGCTACTCTATCCTTTTGAGATGTATTTCTTCCTTGTCTCAATAAACATACTTGAACTTGAACCTTACAGGCTACTCATGCCCCTGCTACTCTCTTAGGTTAATCTTCATCAATCAATCTATGAGGACAAGGAGCGCAACCACTTGAACCATCGGGGATCGAGCGCCGACCCTGCTAGAAGGGAGGCCGCCGCTCTATCCACCCGTCCAAGTCAAGGAGCCAGGAAAGAGATAAACATTCATTCGTGGTTATGATTAGCATTAGTTCTTTTTTTTTACTAATATATTTAACGTCTGGTACATTGACAGTTATCCGTTGTCGAGAGATGGTAAATGGTCTCTCATTATAAGAAAATTTGTTACCAGTCTTGGAAATCTCTATGGTAAATCAAGGTTCATATAAAAAATTGTAATGTTAGTACAGCGTTAAGTTGTATTATATAACATTAATAATTGTGTAACTAGCGTCAAAAGATTATTTGCTTAGCTAAACGAACTAGAGGGTTCAGTTCCTGACTCAATTATGTGCCTCTGTAAACCTTAACACCACCACCCACGGGATGGGTATGGGGTGCATAATAAAGAATTTCAATTGAATTCATACTTTAACCAGCACTAAAATATCAGGAGAGTGTTGCACCATACGAGGTGTGAGTTATGAGGGCATCTCTCCCACTGGATGTAGAGCAAACAGCAGTCGACATTCCACTAACATACTGGAGTATGGTACTAAAAACTACTTGAGATTCTCCAGTAATAAAAATATTGGCATGCTTGAGCCCAGCAACACCACTAAGATCCCCCTAGTCTTCATATTATTCCCATTCAGTGCATATTATATAAACATAATAAGGTTTCCTTTGCTCTAGTAACCTGAATCATACTTATTTTTTGTTTTGTGTTTGCCTTGTTAATCCATGTTTCTATTACATTAACATTTATAGCAAACATAATATACATACTGTCTGTGGTGAAAGGCATGAACCACTTCAGTATACGAAGGTGGGATAAGATGACACTATTACTACACTGACCAACCCTAAACATGCCACCAGTTGCTTCCGCGTCAGCGAGTAGAGAACTGTGAGGAGAGTATGGGACCTGCTGGTCCCGTCTTACCCCTTCTCTACCACGCCTGACCCCCACCCCCTTCCCCCTCCCACTACCTGAGTACGAAGGGTAATGTCTACTATAACTTCCGAAGGAGGCAGCAGTCAATCGACCGATTAGGATACTTTAGTCTAGTTATATGAATATATTTATATTTCTGCTTTCCACAGTAAGGCAGTGTAAGCACACCCATAGCCTCGAGATGAACAGCTGACGCTGCGTCATTGTCAGGTGTGTGTTAACTGAGGGAGATCGCCAGGCCAGTCTTCCCTTACGTTTTTTTTCACAATAATCTTTCACGAGAGAAGGCTAGTCTCTCCTAGCACCACGCTAGTCTCCCACATTATTGCTAGCATCCCCCCTACACCACTAACCTTCCCCCTTCACTAAGCCACACACACCCCCTTCCCCCCACCCCTACACCACCATATCGCTCTAGAGAACTCACCGAAAGAAATAGCAGAGTTGGCCACCAGCATGAGGATGGCCATGCAAATGAAGAAGTTTTGGGCGGGAGGCTCGAGTCCGATCATGTAGTAGGTGATGGCGGTGAAGACGGCGGGCTGGAGGAGAGCAATGGGCAGCTCGGCCAGGTTCTTGCACAGGTAGTAGACGTCTGTGCGGTACATGCCGTTGAAATGCTCGCGCAGGAACACGGGCAGCTCTGCGCAGAACGCCTGGAGGGGTGCAAGGAGTTCCATGGGAGAAAAGATGAAGGTGAAACATGAAAGTTAGTTCATTTGGTTGTCATGGCAAGGAGTGTTGTCTGAGGTGACTGTTGGTTCCCTTACCTGTCGTTTTAGTATATCATAATGACTGATGAATGCTGATGTGCCAGCTTCGCATGTCTCGGTATGTTTAGAATAAATGTTAACTCGGTTCGTTAATGTAAAAGATGTTTGAAATGGATCATTTTATTTGAATTATTAGTGTAAAGGCTGCGTTATATGTTAATTGACTACAATAGGCAGGGTTATAGTGTGACTGACGTTTTAAGTGTTTGCATTGAGAGAAATCCAAAGAATGGATTTCTGCTAATAAAACTATTGAAACTACTGAGAACATACATTTAAATAAGATAAAAAGCCAGAAAAACACGGTTTTCATACATAAAAACTCGCTAATTCTAAGAATGTTTGTGTTCTGGCCTTCATGGCACGGGATAAAACAATGAAAAAAGATAACGCATCTACATTTGTTATTTGTATTTAGTTACTCCCACAAAACATTAAATTTGTTCTTGCAATAATACAAGAAATATATCGAGTGGTGTATACTGCATCTCTGTGTATATACACAGAGAGTACTTTAGTCCTGGACATTGTCCAGGGCTACATTGTAAACCCAGGACTACATTGTAAGTTTACATTGTAAACTCTCGGGTTGGTCAGTGAACACGTGTCGAGGCCAAAATAAATCTCTAGAGGTTAACAGGCCTTAAACCAAGCCCAACGCCAAAGCATATATGAAACAATAGTGTTATACAACGGGAACGAACTCGCGTCCCAGGGATTCGCCAGGCACTCACGTTAACTACGCCGAAGGTGTTAGTGAAGCTCATTTGCGTCAGCAGGAGGAAGATGGCGCCGTTGATGTTAGTGACGCCGTCCTGGGTGACCTCTTGGTTCAGGTAGATGATGCCGATCAGTACGGAGAGTAACTGACGGAGGACACGCCGGTGGGAGGGTTGAGAGGTAGCCAGCCATCAGCAGCCACAGGAGCCCGGGGCAGTGAGTGGCGAAAATGGTCCAAGAAAGAGGGAGGTTTGTGTTAAGGTTCAGTAAGGTGAACCTCAGATCTGTCTCTCTCTCTCTCTCTCTCTCTCTCTCTCTCTCTCTCTCTCTCTCTCTCTCTCTCTCTCTGTCTCTGTCTCTGTCTCTGTCTCTGTCTCTGTCTCTGTCTCTCTCTCTCTCTCTCTCTCTCTCTCTCTCTCTCTCTCTCTCTCTCTCTCTCTCTCTCTCTCTCTCTCTCTCACTCACTGACATATAGTGTGGGAGTGATGGGGTGAGTGTTGTTGCCGTCTCTCTCTCTCTCTCATGTAGTTATGGGAGTGTTGCTGTTGTGGGAGCAGGTAGTTTACACAGTATGGCCGGGTACCCGGGACTGCTCAAGAACACATAGATTTGCCTATTACGGCCAAAGTATGAGATGTAGATTTTATTGTTTAATTTTGGCGTCATGAGCACCTAACGTTTCACAATATGACAACATAAAAAATAACGATAACAATACAGAAATGAGAAAATCGGTTGAAGACATGAGACGAATTCGAACCCATACCCTGGGGTGCTTCTAGACAAACCCTCTAACCACTAAATCATGACATGGTCAAAAGCAATGCATCTTGGGATTCAACTCAGTCCTGTAGGGCTCCAGGAGTCCATGGGGGGGAGGGGCATTGTGTGAAATCCTGGTTAGGCTTCAGTGTAAGCCTCAAGAACCCTACAGGATTGAGTTGAATCCCAGGTTGCAATGTTTTTGTGACCATGTCGTGGTGTAGTGGTCTAGAGCGTTTGCCTGGGAGTTCCTAGCACATAGGTTCGAATCCTCCTCACGGTTCCTACTGCTTTTCTCATTGATACATCGCGTTAATGGGATTTCTTGGTGCAACACTATTAATAAGTCACAGTCGAGTCAATGATTTTCCAAAATTTCTCATGAGGGGTAAGTTTGATAGTGTCATGTGGCATATATATATATAATATATATATATATATATATAAATATATATATATATAAATATATATATATATATATATATATATATATATATATATATATATATATATATATATATATATATAATGTCGTACCTAGTAGCCAGAACGCACTTCTCAGCCTACTATGCATGGCCCGATTTGCCTAATAAGCCAAGTTTTCCTGAAATAATATATTTTCTCTAATTTTTTTCTTATGAAATGATAAAGCTACCCATTTCATTATGTATGATGTCAATTTTTTTTGTTGGAGTTAAAATTAACATAGATATATGACCGAACCTAACCAACCCTACCTAACCTAACCTAACCTATCTTTATAGGTTAGGTTAGATTAGGTAGCCGAAAAAGTTAGGTTAGGTTAGGTAGTCGAAAAAACATTAATTCACGAAAACTTGGCTTATTAGGCAAATCGGGCCTTGCATAGTAGGCTGAGAAGTGCGTTCTGGCTACTAGGTACGACATTATATATATATATATATATATATATATATATATATATATATATATATATATATATATATATATATACATATATATATATATATATATATATATATATATATATATATATATATATATATATATAATATAATATAATATAATATATATAATTATGGACAACTGGAGGTTGAGCGGTATGAGTGACAATTCTCATCATGTGTAGCGATATATGTTGAGGATGAGATACTCATGTGAGAACTTACAATGGTCTGTATGGCCTTGATCCTGAGGACCATGGGCTCCCGGTAGTTGGCCAGCGCCGACCTTACGAGGACGGCAGCGAACTGTTCCGCCCACCCCGCCTTGTACAGCGACTTGCCCACCTGTCACCACCACCCGGGAGAGATTGAAGGTGATCAGTCAGTGTCCACTGTGTGCAAGCAACAGTCTCACTGAGAGAAGGACGGTACGCGCACTACACTTGGTGACGTCCTTATTCTTAGAACTTGTGCGTTTGTTGCACTTATTTTATTTGTTAAAATTAACAACATAAGTTTAATATTGTTTATAGTTGATTATATGTCTTTCATTATTATTCACCCCAGGACTGGCCATTACGGTCCCAAGTTTTATCCCAAATCTATCCCAACTTTAAACTTTATCCCAAAGTTTATCTATCCCAAATAAATAACCAAGCTCTTTGTTACACTAAGCAAACTCTTTGCCACACTAAGCACGCTCTTCACTACACGTAATTTGCGTCTCACCACATTGACCTAGCTCCTCACCACACGAAGATTAGACCCCCTCACCATACAAAGATAGACCCCCTCACCACACAAAGATAGACCCCCCTCACCACACGAAGATAGACCCCCTCACCACACAAAGATGACCTAGCTCCTCACCACACAAAGATAGACCCCTTCACCACACGAAGATAGACCCCCTCACCACACAAAGATGACCTAGCTCCTCACCACACAAAGATAGACCCCGTCACCACACGGCCCCTTCCCCACCGACTTGCCTCACCTTGACGTGGCTGGAGGAAACGGCGGTGCCATTCGAGAGAGAATTCTTATTTTCGGCGACTAGATTAGAGACTTGGAGTCCGGCGCTACTGTTGACGAAGGCGTCGCAGGTGCTCTGTACGAACTTGCGGCACTCGGCTTCGTTGTCGGGCTCGATGGCCAGCACCGAGATGAAGAAATCCGCCGGATTGTAGGTCTTGGGACAGTGCCTTCCTAGCCTAGGTGGAGCAACCACGATTTAGTGACTAAACTATAAGCCAATAACTTCCTGTTATTAGCTTAGAGTTTTGTTTTACATGATGTTTCGCTCTTTAATTTCTCAGTCATAAATGATTTCAGACTGAAATGTGAAAATCAAAAGTGACTAATTATAATAATAGTTGTGTCGGGGGACAGGCAGCCAGTATATATATATATATATATATATATATATATATATATATATATATATATATATATATATATATATATATATATATATATATATATATATATATATATATATATAATATATATAATATACATGTTAGGCTCATATGGAGGTCCTCCCCAAAGGCCAAACTACTGACTTTCCCCAGAATCCAGCTCCACAGCAAGTTGGCTACCGCCAGGTTACCTATTTACTGCTAGGTGAACAGTGGCATTAGGTGTTAGGAAACGCGAGCAACTATTTCTGTCCCGGCCGGGATTCGAACAAGGGTTCGAATTCTCAATTGTGAGTCGAGATATACCGGAAAGAGGACAGTAGAGGAGAGGAACCCATGGTACTCGACTTACCCAGAAAAGAAGTGGAGTGCCTCTGAGGTGGAGCCCAGGAAGGCCACTCGTCCCTCCCCCATCAGGAGCACGCGGTCAAACAGCGCAAACACCTGCAAATACCAGTTACGTAAAACACAAATAGAGAGGGGACGCTGCCCCCCAGGGGACGCTGCCCCCAGGGGACGCTGCCCCCCAGGGGACGCTGCTCCCAGGGAACGCTGCCCCCAGGGGACGCTGGCCCCCCAGGGGACGCTGCCCCTAGGGGACAAGCCCGAAATGGCACCGTTACTGGATGTTCTCCAGTGAACTAATCTCCCCCCCCCCCATGGCCCCGTACCATACTTATTCTAGAGCTGCCCTCCCCATAGTATACTGACTGCGGTGCCAAGTGTGGAGCATACTGGCTGACTACACACAGGTGGAGCAGGAGGTGGAGGACTGACCTCCGAGCTAGGCTGGTGGATGGTAGTAATGACAGTCTTGCCCTTGCTCGCCAGCCCTCTCAAGGCCTGGACGACGTTCTGCGCCATGAAGGAGTCGAGGCCGGAGGTGGGCTCGTCCAGGAACATTATCGCCGGGTTCGTTAACACCTGCGGCGAAGGTTAATAATACTAAATAATGAAGCAATAATTAGGAAACAGTTAAAAAATATTTATATTTTCATTATAGTATCACTATTTCCCGGTCCCCGGGGTTCCCCCAGAACCCGATTGTTCTATATTACATCTGCTCATACACACACACACAATGATCTACGCATCATGTATGTGAGGACATGATCACCACATACAAGATTCTCAAAGCAATTGATAGGATAGACAAAGACAGTTTATTTAACACAAGGGGCACACGGAATGCATTAGAAAGTGATGTGGTGGAGGCTGACTCCATACACAGTTTTAAATGTAGACATGATAGAGCCTAGTAGGCTCAGGAACCAGTACACCAGTTGATTGACGGTTGAGAGGCGGGACCAAAGAGCCGAAGCTCAACTCCCGCAAGCACAAATAGGTGAGTACACGCCCCAGTGTACTTCTTAAGTAAAAGAAGCCCGAAACCCGTTTCTGCCCGAAGCGCTGCGCGTACTAGTGGCTGTACAAGATTGTAATTACCATATTATGTATCCTCACAATCCCAATGTACCTTCTTGTGTATATATATATATATAAATAAATAAATAAATAAAATAAATAAAACGTGGTTTCGATCAGTTAAGAGGGTAGGGAGGAGGTCGTGGGTGGGGAGAGGGGGTGAGGGAGGGAGGGAGGGAGGGAGGGGGGGTGGGTGAGGGAGGGAGGGAGGGAGGGAGGGGGGCGGGGACATAAGGGTGTAAGACACTCACCTCACAGGCGAAGGCGAGCCTCTTGGTCTCCCCTCCGGAGATGCCCTTCAGCCGCCCCGGCACACCGATCATCGTCTTGGCGCACTTCACCAGACTCAGCTGCCAACACCAGAGGCATCATTAATCATGGAGAATAATAAAACTCTCATCCAAACTTCCCTGGAAATAAACATTCCAGTCACCTGGGTTCTAGAAGACTCGAACCGTGGACCCCCGGGCATGTGAGGCCGAAGCTCGATCGACCGAGCTATTGAGTAATGTTAATAAGGAAAGTTTCCGGCAGCAGCTGCTGCTGCCTAGCTGGAATTTTCGACTTTTCCCTGACTACTACTGAAGCTCAGAGGAATTATAGTGATCCACTACTCAGTAGCTCGGAGATTAGAGCTTTGTTCCGAGACGTGCAGGCATGGAGAACTATAGCATATACAGAACTATACCCAAGCAATCAACACGTGGTCTCGTCCACATTATAGATAGAAAGCACATGTGTCACAGCACACACACGGGCACGTCAACACAGCACCGACACACGGACACGTCAACACAGCACCGACACACGGACACGTCAACACAGCACCGACACACGGACACGTCAACACAGCACCGACACACGGACACGTCAACACAGCACCGACACGGGCACGTCAACACAGCACACACACGGGCACGTCAACACAGCACCGACACACGGACACGTCAACACAGCACCGACACGGGCACGTCAACACAGCACACACACGGGCACGTCAACACAGCACCGACACACGGACACGTCAACACAGCACCGACACGGGCACGTCAAAACAGCACACACACGGGCACGTCAACACAGCACCGACACACGGACACGTCAACACAGCACCGACACACGGACACGTCAACACAGCACCCACACACGGACACGTCAACACAGCACCGACACACGGACACGTCAACACAGCACCCACCCCCGGACACGTCAACACAGCCCCGACACACGGACACGTCAACACAGCACCGACACACGGACACGTCAACACAGCACCGACACACGGACACGTCAACACAGCACACACACGGGCACGTCAACACAGCACCGACACACGGACACGTCAACACAGCACCGACACACGGACACGTCAACACAGCACCGACACGGGCACGTCAACACAGCACACACACGGGCACGTCAACACAGCACCGACACACGGACACGTCAACACAGCACCGACACACGGACACGTCAACACAGCACCGACACGGGCACGTCAACACAGCACACACACGGGCACGTCAACACAGCACCGACACACGGACACGTCAACACAGCACCGACACGGGCACGTCAACACAGCACCGACACACGGACACGTCAACACAGCACCGACACGGGCACGTCAAAACAGCACACACACGGGCACGTCAACACAGCACCGACACACGGACACGTCAACACAGCACCGACACACGGACACGTCAACACAGCACCGACACGGGCACGTCAACACAGCACCGACACGGGCACGTCAACACAGCACCGACACACGGACACGTCAACACAGCACCGACACACGGACACGTCAACACAGCACCGACACACGGACACGTCAACACAGCACCGACACACGGACACGTCAACACAGCACCGACACGGGCACGTCAACACAGCACCGACACACGGACACGTCAACACAGCACCGACACACGGACACGTCAACACAGCACCGACACACGGACACGTCAACACAGCACCGACACACGGACACGTCAACACAGCACACACACGGGCACGTCAACACAGCACCGACACGGGCACGTCAACACAACACAACACACGGGCACGTCAACATGCTGTGATAACCATGATAAGATGGCCACCATACCGGCCCATGTGTTGATAAGACGCGTTGTTTTATCTTGGGAATCCACAGTCACCTTAAGGGTCTTAGCTTAATATAGTTATTATGTCGCTGACATCTTTATTGTGATGTTCTGACACATTCTTCATGACGTCCTCACACATGACATAACCCTGTCTCACCTGTCATGACCCCCTGACTCACCTGTCATGACCCCTTGACTCACCTGTCATGACCCCTTGACTCACCTGTCATGACCCTTGACTCACCTGTCATGACCCCTTGACTCACCTGTCATGACCCCTTGACTCACCTGTCATGACCCCTGACTCACTTGTCATGACCTTTGACTCACATGTCATGATCCCTTGACTCACCTGTCATGACCTCCTTGACTCACCTGTCATGATCCCTTGACTCACCTGTCATGACCCCTGACTCACTTGTCATGACCTCCTTGACTCACCTGTCATGACCCCTGACTCACTTGTCATGACCCCTGACTTACTTGTCATGACCCCCCTGACTCACCTGTCATGACCCCCCTGACTCACCTGTCATGACCCCCTTACTCACCTGTCATGACCCCCTGACTCACCTGTCATGACCCCCCTGACTCACCTGTCATGACCCCCCTTGACTCACCTGTCATGACCCCCTTGACTCACCTGTCATGACCCCTGACTCACCTGTCATGACCCCTGACTCACCCGTCATGACCCCTGACTCACCTCCTGCATGACCTCCTCGACTCTCAACACTCTCTGCGCCTGGGGGATGGAGCGGTCCATCCTCAGCTGTGCCTGGGGGGGGGAGAAGAAGAAGAAGGCGTCACCGTGGTCTCGTGCACGCCTTTGGTTGCAAGGATAACATGGTGTTGCACATGCAAAGTAGCCAAGTTAATCCGTGCTGAAGCCAAAGACGTTTAAAACAAAACTCCGCAACTATACTGATGTTGGTAGGTGGAGGGGGCAGCCCGTGGGGGAAGGGCAGGGGGTAGGTGAAGGGGAAGGAGGAAGAGGTGGGAAGGGGTGGGAGAGGTGAGGGAGAGGGAGGGGGGGGGGGGGGAACACCCACCTGGAAGAGGAGCTGCTCCCTGACGGTGAAGGTGCCGATAAAGAGGTCCTCCTGCTGCACGTACGCTGACCTCCTCGTCAGCACCTCCGGTGACACGCGCTGACCGTTCACGTACAGCGACCCTGCACGGGAGAAACCGCACGGTACAGCGGCAGATCACTATGGTGCACGGTACAGTGTTTACATGACTGAGGTACATGGGTACAGCGGTGACCTAAGATTCATTTTGCAGTAGAAATATGACCAGGGTACAGGGAACAATGGGAACATGACCAGGATGCAGGGAACAATGGGAACATTGTTCCCTGTATCATAGCGCTACCTGTCGACGTAGATCTAACCTGCCGTATAGACCACACCAGTACTGCCACTTCCCCAGCTAAGATACCAGTGGGGCTGAGTGTGTGATGGTTCTCTGTGTACTGCCCACTACAGCCCCCCCAATGCCCACCCGTGACCTTGAGGGCGCGAGGTCTCGCCTGTGACCTGCAGGCCGCGAGGTCTCACCTGGTAGAGAGGAGTAGACTCACCTGTGACCTTGAGGGCCTGGTCGCTCCTGAAGGTGAGGACGCTGAGGAGAGTGGTCTTGCCGGCCCCTGAGGCGCCCATGATGGCCAGCAGCTCCCCAGGACGACAGATCCCTGCCACTGTAAGGTAGACGGGGTAGTGTTACACCTCTACACTCACACCACACCTACACCACACTTTACTACACTTCACTACACCACATTACACTACACTTCACTACACCACATTACACTACACTTCACTACACCACATTACACTACACTACACCACACCGTCTCTACTCACCATCTTTAAGAATGTGTTTCTCCTGGGTGACCTTCTTCTTGCCGAAGCCCTTGGAGGTGGAGGCGAAGACATTGACCTTCTCCCAGGAGTAGGTGAGTCGCTCCTCCCCCGCCACCCACGACTTCTCCACCGGAATGACCACCTCGCCATTCTGTGGGGGGGGGGGGGACACTAGAGTAGTCAAGGGTCACGTCTTGAGGTCACCAAGACGTCATACCAAGAAGATATCGATTGATTGATGAAGATTAAGCCACCCAAAAGGCGGCACGGGCATGAATAGCCCGTAAGTGGTGGCCCTTTTGAGCCATTACCAGTATCAAGAGCTGATACTGGAGATCTGTGGAGGTGCGACTGCACCCTGTGGGACGGGAGATGTCTCCCGTGAAGAAGATATCCAAGCCATTACGACTATATAGCACTTGGAAGGGGGTCAGGATAAAGATTTGGGATGGGTAGGGAGGAAAGGAATGGTTCCAAATCACTTGGACGGTCGGAGATTGAACGTCGACCTTCATGAAGCTAGACCGTCGCTCTACCGTCCAGCCCAAGTGGTTGGACCGGATATACGGATAGTTTTGTTTGTCACCCGGGCTAAGTAACATTTTTTGACGAAGGACTTACCGAACTAATTTAAATTTATTCAATAATTGCTATTTGAGATTTTTTTCGCAGGGAAATTCCCGCGCGAGCCCTAAGCCTCTGCCTGGCGCACTAAGTGCATTTAAGAGGAAAATCGACTCGAATCTACGATTTAGATGAAGGAATGTGAAAAATTCAGTTATATAAAATTTTAAATTTTCTCTGGGTTAAGATATGACCCAGAGTTTTGAAGTGGCTTTGTGATATATTTATACTAGGAGGGGGCGGGGGACCCGGCGGTGCCCGGGATCGTCTGTCCCTCCCCCCACTCCCCCAACCTCTTGTTATCTTAGTAGTCACGTGGGGGAGACATTTTCCTCGTTGTAAGATAATAAATAATGCGTCTGTTTTCTTCTCGTTGTTACTGATCCCTCAGCCTGCCTGGTGCGTGTGTTACGACATAAAGTTATACACTATCTTGTAACACACGTAAGTCCCCTGTGTTGCAATTCCAGAAGATGTTGCCTATCCAAAATCAGAGTCACAAACTGTATTCGTAACAAGTTATACAACTCATCAACACAATGGCTGGACTAAACAGGTGTAAGGGAGTCTAAAACAAACTTATATTTTTTTCGATAAAGTGAGTAACATTTAGCTTACAGTTTGAAAGGTGATATATGTATTGGGAAAAAGAAATTATTGTTTACCATAAGAGCTGTAAGACAGATATTGGCGCAATGTAAAGCTCAGTATTAGAAAACAATTTGAAGGTTAAGTAAAATAAAGTGATCATATCGTGAGGTTATACACATCTACCAGCCCATCGTCTAACCCGTTCTCGCACTTTCTTACAGTCAATACTGACTTATTAAATACGTGCATATGTGACATACTAAACATACTAGTTTACCTTGAAAAGCTTCATAGAAAACACTGACCTTACCTAACCTTCTTAGTATGTTAAGATAAGCATCTTATTGCTTCGTAATTACAATTATTACTTAACCTATACCGTTGAACGGGTTGCATCGTCGTGTTTTGGTAGTACTTATAGTAACGATGAGGGCCATAGTTTATATATATTGACGTACAACAAAATTAGAAAGTCGAAATCTGAACCATTGGGTTGGACAAACCGGAAAACTATTATTTTTGCTTTGACAAATTAAACTAACCTAACCTTCCTAGGCCTATTGCATGATATCTGAAGCCTAATATAGTACATATGTGTGCTATACCAGGCCTAGGAATATTTGTTTGTTTTTTTAGCTTCATACGTACGAATTGTGACTATTGATGATAGTCACAATAGGTACTATCTAAACAGGAGGATGGGTTGTGGCACCCTCAGTTCTCTACCTCAACAGACAGAGACTCTCCCGGATCAAAATCACTCCTAACACCCAACACATGTAACATAGATCGAACTTCAAAGATACTCAAAATGTCTACCATTAAGCCATCTAGTTTATGTCTGATGGAGAGACACTATGTCTAGACAATAAAGGCATTGTTAAACTTCAGTTATCCATAATGTGCCATAAGCACTACCTGATCAACCAAGCTGTGATTCATACGTCAGGCTGCGAGCAGCCGCGTCCAACAGTCTGGTTGACCAGTCCAGCAACCAGGCCTGGTCAAGGACCGGGCCGCGGGGACGTTGAGCCCCGAAATCATCGCAAAGTAACCCCTAAGGTAACGTCAGGTAACTCTAAGTTCCCTTTGCAGTCAGCAAATTTATTTAATGTTTTAATTAATTAATTTTGTTCTACCGCAGATGCTAACGAGCATATCTACACGTTGGTCTGTCCTCTGTGGACCAGGTTAGAGGTCTGTTACACTACCTCCTAGAAAGCGCAACATCCAAAAGTTCCGTTCAACGTATTATGAAAGTGGATTTAACGTTGATTCAACGTCAAAAACCAATGCCACTATTGGATAACACGCCCGCTGGGATGCAGTGTTGAGGGTTCCTAACTACTCAACCACCTTGAGGTTACCTTGATAAGTATAATCAAGGTAATCAATCACCACAGGTAATTGGCATGCTTTTGTCCAATGCCAACCAGCGGGCCACAAGGCGCGTACTGTGTTTTGGGTATTCACATTCCAAAATAAAGCATGAATACTGATAGTGGAGATCAGGTGATGAAAGCTCGAGGCCTTCGCCAAGCTGTCTTTCATATGACAGCCTTATCAGCGGGACAAGGTTAGCGCAGTAGCATGACGCAACGCTGGCGCGGCGCCGTCCTGACACAAGCCGCTCTGCGTCTTCTTGCGTCCTGCCTGGCTCGGAGGGGCCTACGAGGTGGACACGGTCGCCGATGGTCGTATACAGGGTCATAAATTGTCGTGTACATGTGTTATGTAACAGCTGGTGTACGATACGACACAATAGTCGCAGCCAACTACTGTGAGACAGCAGAGAAGATTACAACCAGCAACAGGAGGATTACAGCCAGCAACTGTGAGGCAACAGGAGGATTACAGCCACCAGCTGTGGTGGCAACAGGATGGGTTATAGCCAACAACTTGGAGGCAACAAGGGAATTAAAGCCTACAACTGTGTGGCAACAGAGGAATTAAAGCCAACTGTGAGGCAACAGGGGAATTAAAGCCTACAACTGTGAGGCAACAGAGGAATTAAAGCCTACAACAGTGAGGCAACAGGAAGATTACAACCAGCAACTGTGAAGCAACAATTAAGAGGGTACATCCATATCATGATAACATCTTATCAATTATTGCATCACATGTGCAAGGTTAAATTACTTTATCATTAAGAGAATTTGAATAATTATACCATTGATACTTTAAATAATTATACCATTGATACTTTAAATAATTATACCATTGATAGATACATCAATGGTATTTAAGCGCATTAAATAAGAGCGGAATGAATGAGTTAATTACAGCAGTGATACAACCGTCTGGTGTGTATAGGCAGGAATCTTGTTCATTTAATTGAAAACTGCTTAGAAAACCGAACCTTCCAAGTTGTCGTGAACAGTTAGTCTTCCCAGGAACTTATCCTAGAGGCGAGTGTGTTGGGCGCTCACGTGCCCTAGAAGCGAGAATACCCCAAGGTAATGGGCAAAGACCATGCCCAGCTGGGGGGTATATCGTAGTGGCGAATCAGATCTATACTGGATTACAGTATTCACCGCCAATTTGGGTTGGGAAAAAAATCACAACAACGCCGCACATTTGGTAAGAAGCAAACTCAATTAACTTCACTCAATACCGTACATGCACTCAATACCGTACATGCACTCAATACCGTGCATGCACTCAATACCGTACAAGCACTCAATACCGTACATTACAAACTCGCCGACACAGATGTGGCCGGTCTGTTGATACTCTTAAATGATTCATAAAATGCATAAGCCTCATATAGCTTCTTCGCAAGTTCCTTTCTCAAGAATAAACAAGAGCTGGGATAAGTGATAACCAGATGAATGTTCCCTTTGTATAAACATAGCAAGGGAGGGGAAAGTGCCAAACCATTACGACTAAATAGCACTGGTAAACATACCAAGTTTGACCCTCTTAACGCCTAGCATGCGCAAAATTATAATTCATAATTGTTACATTAACGCTCCATAATGTAACATTGTGGAGCGTATTTTGGCAACAGGCTTCAACGATCAAATATCAAATCTTGAAGTTTATTGAATTCAATAGTGTTCAATCAAATACAGAATTCCCGCATCGCTACACAACGGTAGTTAACATATAGACGATACAGACGACTATCTGTAGACGAATCACGTCTACAGATAGACGAAGTTAGCAATTTTGTAAAGATGGACAGACTGGTTGAATAACTGTGTGTATTAGTGGATGGATGATGTACCTCAGTCGAGTGACTGATGCATTCCTGTGTGTCTGACACAGAAAACGCACTCACCTCCTTCTGGTAGCCAAAGTTGTCAAGTCCGGCCGACATGTTCACTGTTTACAATCACTGCTGGGTCGTGGTGCCTGTGTGTTGCTCGTAGCCTCTTGATGGTGGTTGTGGTGATGGTGGTGGTTATAGTGATGATGGTGGTGGTAGCGATAGAGACAATCCCCGCGCTTTACTAAAGAGTAGACTTATTCTTTCACCAAAGCACCGTCCAGCAAGCACACTTCACTTGCGTATATCTTCGCTCTTGTTTATAATTGTATGGATACGCATAAGGTTTTCAAAAACTATTATAAATGTCTAATTAATAAACATTTTAAAGAAATAATATATAAATATGTAAAAATATCAATTTATATTTTAGTAAAAAATATTAATTATTAGTCATCACAGTCGAATTCTGGGCGAGTATCGTCACAAGTCCAGTTACTTTTGTACCATCAAAAACAGTCACAATAGTACCAACACGAGCACCGTCACTATAGTATAAACAAGAGCACCGTCACTATAGTATAAACAAGAGCACCGTCACTAGACCCACAAAGGAATGCCACACCACGCGCGCGTGTGCATGTTCGTGTGCACTCAGCTACGCGTGTGTGTGTGAAGGGGAGGCGGAGCTGCACGCTAATACCTGACACAGGAGCACGGGGCCAGATAGTGCCAGATGCGCACGCTGGCCCCCCTCGCTGCCACTCTTTCCACACTTTTCTACTTTACGAGCAGCTCCTGCACTTTCGGGAGTTCGCGTCACCACCCTGATCTATGGACTCGCACTCAGTCACTCCTTCCCCTGAGTGTATTTGAGATTTAGGTTCATTAACATGATAAAAAATGCGTATGCAACATATGCCAAGTAATCATGACGAACCATTTCGCTTGTCGTAGAATGCGACCTTATCAAAAGGGTAACTGGGGGAACTCTTCAGTTATTGGTAACATTTCTCTCTAGAACACACGAACTAATGAACACAAAATCGTAAATACACTTTCTTGCTTTTCGGCATCGAGAAATAGTTTTGTGAATTTATAAAACAAGTTATTAAGGCGTTATTTACATGCAACGTAGAGGCTTATGAAACACTGTTGATTATGAGGAAAGCCGATAATGCCTCGCCCTGAACACTGCTCTGTGTTGCCAGATAAGGGACTTTGGCCCGACTAACCAGCCCGTCCTCCTAAGGTTTCAAAACGTCAAGAAAACGGTTCTTACACTCCATACCGTGCATTACTATACCGTAAGAGCTACTATAGGTTCTGTAAGTGTCCTCTCCTAACCTAACAGACTAAGCCAGAGGCCCCCAAAAACAGAAAATGGGACAGAACGTCACTTTCGCCAGCCGCTTCCATTTTCTAGTACGGCAATTTTTGGGATTATGTAACGCCTTCGATCGAAAAGTTACGTTTTCTGTAAGAGGACGGTGTAAGACTAACACCGCTGAACGATCACAGCATGTTCCTGCTGCGGTTACTGTGATATCGATACGCAAGGATTAAAGAACAGTCCTTGCTTCGACAAGAAGCAAAGTACAATGCCTTAAGCCAAATTGATGCTTTAGTCAGAGAGCGCTCCCTTTCCCAGATTATTTACACTGATGGATCCTTGCATCAGTCCTATGGTGCAGCTGGAAGTGCAGTTGTTGTGACAGGGAGAGATGGTTCCATCTCCCATGAGTGTGGAGCGCGTCTAAGTAACTGGGCCTCCACTCTTCAAACAGAATTGGTTGCCATAATCCTTGCACTAGAGCGCGTATATGAATCCAAAGTTGACACGCTAATTGTAAGTGACTCCTTGTCATCCTTGACTGCCCTCAGCTCCCCAAGGCATAACTGTGACGTGCTTATTTCTGAAGCTAGACACAGATATAGTGAAATAATCAATGATGGAGTCAGAGTTTGTCTCCTGTGGATTCCTTCCCATATTGGTCTCCGAATGCATGATAGAACTGATGAGCTAGCCAAGACTTTTGCTCGTAAAGAGGGAATTGATTACCAACTTGGACTGCCTTTGAGCAGCCTGAGGGCAGCAATATCCCAGGAACATCAACTAAATTTCGGAGACTTGAGGCAAAGTGAAATTCACACCAGTTACTCCATCTATCATCATTCTATTATGCATGAAGAACCGCACGTCTATGGGTCATCCAATAATGTTAGCAGACTTCTAGATGTTACCACTGCTAGGCTTAGGCTCGGCTACAAGTACCTCTGGGAGTTTGTAACATCTGCTGATGTAGATTTGACTAAATGTAAACTCTGTCAGCAGAACTATTCGCATACTTTGCGTCATTATATAATGGAATGTGAAAAAATTGCGGAATTTAGAGATAACACCATCAATAGTGTCCAAGAAATGTGTAAGTACTTCATTCATAATGATGTGCTGCCCGAAATTTTAGCGAAGTATCCAAAATTTGCTTACTGTAGGTAATGCATGCACATGACTGTAAAGCTGCCGCCCAGTTGGGTGGGTGTGCAGCAAGACTAGTAACTGTGTGACTCACTATAGATGTTAAGTACCTTGTATAGTGACTGTTGTGAGCCTCTTGTAATGTCACTTGTGACACCTCTTTGTGTCACTTGTGACACAAAGATTATTGATGTGTGTATTTGTGTGGGTGATTAAATATGTATGTGTATGTATATGTGTATACGTATATATATATATATGTACATGTATGTATGAGGGTGTGTACATGTGTATACAACATTGATAATTTTGTAACTAGCGTCAAACATTGTTATTTGCTTAGCTAAACGAACTAGAGGGTTCAGTTCCTGAACCGATTATGTGCCTCTGTAATCCTTTACACCACCGCCCACGGGATGGGTATGGGGTGCATAATAAAGAAAGAAATTGGAATATAACATTTTATAAATTTTGCTAGAATTTACCTACTTAATATTATCTATTTTATTAAGGACTTGCCCGAAACACTGTGCGTACTAGTGGCTTTACAAGAATGTAAACACAATGCTATGTACCCTCACAAACCCAATGTAACATCTTGTATATATATAAATAAATAAAGTACAAGAGCGCCCAAAACCCACAAGACATGTAAAGACAGGCGTTTGGCTTTTGACTTCGTTTTTATTAATTAATATTACATATTTAGGCCTTTAACTTTAATAATTATTAATTTATACAAGTATAACTATCACACAATAAATGTAATGGGAGTTTACCCCCAAAACTGGTCACAATATTGTGTTTCGTGCGTTCGATCTTGTTTGTGGGCAATTGTATGTGTAGTGTTTACGCTGGCGGGCAGTTGCTTAATTTAGAATCTGTACTTGAGGTCGATCTCGAACCCATTGTTGATGTGACGACTTATATTGAATTTTGTAACTAGCTCATCAAGATTGTAACTTGCTTAGCTAAATGAATTGTGGGGTTCAGTCCCTGAGCCCATTATGTGCCTCTGTAACCCTTTCCAATACCGCCCACAAGATGGGGTGCATAATAAATGAACTAAACTAACTGGCGGGCGTCGTTCTTACGAACACCGGATTATGTCTATCACATCATTAAACGTCTTTTAATAACTATATGCCTGTTAAGTCGAAGATTTTAACTGGTAATAACACTATATTGTGGTTTTAATATTGAGCAATTATATATATATACGAAATTTATACAAATTTTGTGTCCGAAATAGTAGAGATATGTGTGCGATCCATCGACTGTACCAAGTGTCTAGTATCAACTTGGAAGGGATCAGGATAAGGATTTAGGATGGGAGGAATGGTAGTCAAACTGTCAAGGTGTAGGGGGTTGGTGGCTCAGATGGTAGAGTGACTGGCTGTCTGTATGGTCGGTGGTTCGCGTGTTCAGGTGAATTTAAAGATCATGCAAGATTGGCGAGGGTGCGTCCTAGTGCTGTAGCTGCCCCTAGCCTACAACAACAACAATAACAAGGTAGAACAGCGGAGTTGCGTGTTGGACGCGGTCGTGTTTGGGTGTGTTTTGAGTGAGCTCCCGCGGAGGTGGCCGGTGTCATGGCGGCGGCTGGAGGCGCACATGGCGTCTCTCGTACAACCATCGACGATACCTTAGAAGATGTTGGAAAACCATTACTGCATACCACAAAATTGAATCCTGAACGTCACCCGGTCATAGAAGAGGACCCCGAAGGAGAATTCATAGACAGCAAACACCATAGTAAGGCAAACAGACTGGAGGCAAAGCGCCGCCATTTATCAGAGGTAAACAGAAATGAGGCCGACGCCACGCGGCCTCAATATCCACACCCACCGCTCAACCAAGGTAGGCCAAGCTCTTCGGAGTTACAAACCTTTATCATTGCTTTTGAGGGCGAAAATGAGAATATTTTCCGAAATAGTAGGGCACAAAGCATCCTATATAATGCCATTCCCCACAAATTCGGAATCGACGTGCACGATATCAGACCAAACAAACTAAAGAACCTGATCGCAGTGGATCACAAACACAGCGCGGAACTGGAGATTTCAAACATTACTGACATCTGTGGTCACAAAGTTAGGTGCTATAAACCACTAGGAGACAGATTAGTGAAATATGTAATCCGGCATGTTGTAGACATCAGCGCAGAAGACATTAAGGCACAACTCGACACAAATGGCATCCCACTCTATGAAATAAAAAAATTTATGCGACGAACGAACGGAGAACTGAGTGATACAGGCACCGCCCTGCTTACTTTTCTGGACTACGTTCCCCCTGATAGGATTTGGTTAAACGGCTTCCTCCACAAACTAGAGGTGTATGTTCCGCGTCCCACCCAATGTTTTAAATGCACGGGTTTTAACCATACCTCGAAGGGCTGCACTAAAGATATCAAATAAAAAAAATGTGGGAAATGCTCTGGTTCCCACTACACACAAACCTGTGCATCGGATACACTCACCTGCTCAAACTGTGGTGGCGAGCATGACATCACATTTAAACAATGTCCCTCTTACGTAGCAGCAGCAGCGAAAATGAAGGTTCCCCCTACCACCAACCTGCTATACAGCAGCGCATTAAAAAAACCTTCCTCAGCTCATCACCAACCTCTACCTCACACTCAACCACAACCTTCGCTTGTACCGGATATCCCTGTCTCCGACAATCCCGCAACCCCAGGGTCCAACCACCTCTCACAAAACGCGCAACTGAATCCTGATTTAGTTGAAACTCTCGTCACTCGCCTCGAAAATGATCTTATTGAAACGATCGTCACTCGCATCGAAAATGCACTGGAAAAGACCCTGGACCGACTCCTAACAAAATTTTTTGCCCAAGTACCACAACCCACCCCTGAGGCTGACCCAACAGACCCCCCATCAACAGTTACGGACACTGACATCCGCCCAAATAAAGCTACCAATGCTGGACACACATTGTTTGATCAGATGATGGAAAAACTCCTAATTACCTCCTTAGCGCGCCTCACCAAAACCACTCCCCAGGCTGACGTGCCACAAACCCCAACCACCAGTACCAAGAGTAAGACACAGCCCCCATCCACATCTAGGTATCCAACTCGTACCACTATGAGCGCACCAAAGAAAACAGACACATCCACAACCCAAACATCCTAAATGGCTCCCCTAACCTTCATGACTTGGAACGCAAAAAGCATCAAAACATCCCTCACAGAACTTAAACAATTCCTCTACTCATCCAAACCGGACTTAGCATTCATCACCGAATCCTGGCTCACTCCCAAACAAAATCCCGTATTTAAAAACTTTCAGATGCAGAGACTGGACAGACCCAACCGTATGGGGGGTGGTATTTTCCTTCTAACACGAAGTAATATGACATGTAAACCTGTAACACTAACGTATTTTGTGAACGGTAAATTAGAAGTTCTAGCATGCCTAATACCTTATAATGGTACACACATATCCTTTCTGGGTATATACAACCCTGGAGGCACCATAAACTCAAATGAACTGGAATTTTATCTTAACCAATTACGACACCCGATCATTGTTACAGGTGATCTCAATGCTAACCACCCCACATGGAGTAGAGGTACCCAAAATACTGCAGGCACCGATTTGTACAACTACTTGGACACTACACCATATACTCTTCTTTCGCCGCCCTACCTTGCAACCTACTTTAACTACAGAACCAATTATGAAGCCTCACTGGACATCTGCTTTGGCTCTGCACACTTTCAACATGAACTACAGTTTCATACTGGACCAGATATTGGTAGTGACCACAAACCCCTCATAATAAAATTTACTAACTTTCACCCACCAACCCACCCGCTTACGCTTCCCAAGTGGAACATAAAGTACCTAGACAAGAAAAAATGGGCTGATATTGTCCGCCTCCCAGACACAGATGAAGTAGACCCTAACAAGCGCCTGTCCACAATCACCTCGGCCATAAATTCTGCAGCCACCCAAATGCTTAAGAAAACTTCAGGACATAGGTCCAACAAACCACTTAAACCGTGGTGGAACGCGGAATGTGCACGAACAGTCGCTTTACGCCGACGAGCCATTCAAAAACAAAGACGTCAACCCTCCCTACAGAACTGGGTCAATCTCCGGCGGGCTACAGCAGCGGCCAAAAAAACCATACTATCAGCAAAACGAGCATCATGGGCAACATTCTGTGATAGCCTCACACCCACAACGCCGCACTCGAAAGTCTGGGCTACTTTTAACAGCATTAAAGGTCGCCCAACATTCCCTTCGTTCCCCCTGATGATCAACGGTTCACTCTGTCAAACACCTCAGGAGCGTGCAAGTGTTCTCGCTGAATGCCTTAAAGTTACCCTCTCAACACCCTTCCTTCATGCCCAAGAACTCTCTCTCAGAAAAGAAATTGACCGTGCCATACCGCTGCCCATGCTCGGCGTCGACAACGTGTACACCTTAAGCGAGCTACGATTGGCCTTAAACCGCCTACCTCTTGGCAAGGCACCTGGAGAGGATGGAATTCCATATGAGCTCATCAAATATCTTCCACCGACTGCACACAGCACTCTTCTAAACTATTACAATCTATGCTGGACTCACGGAAATATTCCTTCACAATGGCAGACCAGCATTATTCTTCCGTTCCTTAAACCAGGAAAAGACCCATCCCAACCTGCGTCATACAGACCTATCTCCCTACTATCATGCCTCAGTAAAGTCATGGAAAGGCTAGTACATACTCGCCTCCAATGGTACCTAGAGTATAACAATATTATACCTTCACTCCAAGCTGGATTTCGACCGCAATGCTCCACGCTAGATCAAATACTCTGCCTTGAACATGAAATCCGCACCTCTCTCAGAAGCAGTAAATATTGTCTTGTTGTCTACCTAGACCTCAAAGGAGCTTTTGATAGCATTCCTCATACTTGCCTCCTCGCAAAGCTTGCACGTTTAGGCGTACAGGGAAGATTACTTTTATGGTTACAGTCCTATCTCACAAACCGGACCTCCAAAGTCTTTATACAAGGCGAGTTTTCCGATGGCATCCCAATACAAACAGGTGTCCCACAAGGCTCCATACTAAGCCCAACCCTATTTGCCGCATTCTTAGCAGATTTGCCTAACACCCATCCTGTTCACCTCTCGGCGTACGCCGACGATTTAACATTGTATTATTCAGACAATGCCCTACCAAATACAGTCTCTACAATGCAAACAGCACTGGACCACCTCATAGATTGGACACAACAATGGGGCCTTCAAGTCAGTACTACCAAAACCTGCTATCAGATTTTCACTAAAAAAAGACTACTTCATCTACCCACCCTCACAATACACAACACTCCCATCCAACACGTACGAGAACATAAATATCTTGGCATGCGCTTAGACTCCCCCTTACTTACCTGGAAAGCACACATTCAACACCTTAAACAGACGACACAACCTCGACTCGCCATACTTAAAGCCCTCACTGGCACCACCTGGGGAGCACACCATAAAATCTTGCTCCGTTTCTATACAACCTACATTCGCAGCCAACTAGACTATTGTTGCCAGGCATATGCGTCGGCGGCGCCCACTAACCTACAGAGCCTCGAGGTCATACAAAATAATGCCATGCGACTTATATGTGGCGCAATGCGTTCAACTCCAATCCTCGGACTTTACGGGGAAACAGGCCTCACAAGCCTAACCACCAGACGAGACATTATGTGTGCCAACTATCTGTCACTCTGCACCACTGCTCACCAGACACACCCATACAGATCAAAAATTAACCCAACAGTTAACCCATATAACCCCCGCTCCCCAACCATTCACTCGCAACCTTTCCTCACACGGGCTACAAATAACCTCAATATAGACCTCTCCCTACTTCAAAACTGTGAAACCCAACCTCCTGTTCCCCCCATTCCACCTTGGCTTTATACAACTCCTAATACAGCAATACAACTCGAGGACAACATTCCAAAATCTGCACCAAACTCAGCCATAGCCTCAGTCTTTGTCTCAACAATGAAAAATTGCTACCCAAATACCACAGAGATTTACACAGATGGGTCTCGCATCTTCACGAACAACGTACCCTCGGTCACTTGCGCTGTATGGATACCGGAATACCATCTCAAGCAGGGATGGCGGTTACCAAACCAACTATCTATTTTCACAGCGGAATTATATGCCTTGTATCAAGCTCTCCAAATCATCACAACATTACCAGTTGGGATATATACAATCTGTAGTGACTCCAAGAGCGCGATTCAAGCAATTTCGTACTCTTCGAAAACATGCAAGGAGATTGTCTACCCATGCCTTCAACTTCTTCACAAACATCAATTGAACGGTTATGACACCTCTATCCAATGGGTCCCAGCACATTGTGGTATTCTCCATAATGAACTTGTAGACCAACTAGCCAAAGCAATGCACGACACGCCTCACCTCACCCGTCATCCAATTCCCCATGTTGCACGTAAAGGAGCCTTCAAAGATACCATCTCCCAGGATTTTGCAACAAACTGGAAAACGTTATGCTCACCTTTGCACTATGGGTCCATTAAAAAGAAATGGGAAACTTGGAAACATGTCCGATATAAAAGCAGAGAAATTGATGTAACGATGACCAGATTAAGGCTGGGACACACCAAACTAGCAGCACACAGCTCTAAGTACAGAACAGACATCAACGAACTCTGTACTCACTGTCAGGTGCCTGAAACAGTCGAACACTATCTCCTGCACTGCTTCCGACATTATAGTGCCAGAGTAAATTTCAAACAAGTCTTTATCGCACTTAAAATACCCTTTACCATCGAGCATATATTAGGAGGCGGTGACCACTCGTCACAAGAAAAATACCAAATAGTCAGAGCACTGGCTAAATATCTCCAATCGACCAACAAATTGGGTCACATCTGACCCGCGCCACATTTATACCTGGCGCCACCAACAGCTAAACACAGAAAACAACTACCTCGTCGCAACACCAAGGATCAGCTGACGCCATAAACACAACACACCGCCCTACGGTGCGGCAAGTCTCCCTCTAACACACACCTCTGTTTTAATCACCGTTCCTCTATCTACAGCACAAAGCAACAAGCACCTTGGTAGCTCCGATCGTCTTCAACATAAAAGCGTCCAACAACATCAGTACTGGTGCAGTCATCGGGAGGACAAACCCTTCATGCAAACTGCACCTACTATCAACAAGAAGAGAAGAAAGAAGGTAGAACAGCAGCGTTAATTTTGAATATTGTGTCACTTGTACCAGACGCGGCTGGGCATTGACTGTCTCGATTGATTGATTGATGAAGATTAAGACATCCAAAAGGTGGCAAGGGCATGAATAGCCCGTAAGTGGTGGCCCTTTTGAACCATTACCAGTATCAAGAGCTGATACTGGAGATCTGTGGAGGTGCGACTGCACCCTGCGTGACGGAAGATGTCTCCCGCTTGACTGTCTTAAGTGAACAGACTAATGGATACTAGTCACATCGTACACAAGCCGGTTTGTCAAGCGATTTTAAAACCTTATCTTTAGATTATCTTGAGATGATTTCGGGGCTTTTAGTGTCCCCGCGGCCCGGTCCTCGACCAGGCCTCCACCCCCAGGAAGCAGCCCGTGACAGCTGACTAACACCCAGGTACCTATTTTACTGCTAGGTAACAGGGGCATAGGGTGAAAGAAACTGCCCATTGTTTCTCGCCGGCGCCTGGGATCGAACCCAGGACCACAGGATCACAAGTCCCGCGTGCTGTCCGCTTGGCCGACCGGCTCCCCAATGTTACCTGAATGTACCTGTGAAACCTAAAACCTGTCTAACTTAACCTAATAACCAACCTATACTAATCCAGTAAAGCCTAACACGGCCTAATTATAGCTAATATATCCTACCCTAATGGGGGAGGGGTACTTTTGACAAGCTGCCAGCTTCCTGTCTCTACTGAGGCCACTAGAGAGATGATGGTCATCAAATAAATTTAGGGAAATATGGTTTTGATCAATTGAAAACAAGGCGTCTTGAAACGCTTCTGTATGAAGTGAAATGGGATTGACATCTTGCTAACCCCAACGGTACATTATCGAGGATCGTGGGTTTAATTCTTGAGGCAGGGCAGAAATGGTTGGGCACATTTTCTTTCACCTGGTGGGGGGGAGGGGGGGTCAATAGTTGACCTGGGACACATTGATAAGCCTAAGCATAGCTTCCTGTCCCTGATAATGGATGTTTTTATCAAAGTGCTTTCCTAGCGGTCCGTCTAATTACCCTAAGCTACCCAAAGCTTCCTAGCATTACATAAGTAATGAAGAAATATGATGTATTTACTCACTATATTGTTGGTGTTGAATGCAGAACTTGAAAAAACATATTTTTACTCCAAAATAATATAAATTTATAACCCAATTAGACGAAATTAAGTGGCATGAGACACCATAGGAAGTCGACGATCCAAGCGACAATATTGTGGAGTGACTTATCCAAGATGAACAAATTATTCAAGATATGTTGTTGCCTAGAGGTTATATTAAGTTATGTTTGGATAGGTTAGGTTTAGTTAGGTTAGGTTAGATTATGTTTGGGTAGGTTGGTTAGGTTAGGTAGGTACAGGACGCTCATATGCCAGGAAACATTGTCGCTTGGACCTTTGATTTGCTTTGGCTTCGTCAGCTTCTTATTTTCGTCTAATTTTGTTATAAAATGATACTTTTTCATAGTAAAAATATGTTTTTCATGTTCTACATTCAGCACCAACATTATAATGAATAAATATATCATATTTATTCATTACTAACATAATGCTAGGAAGCTTTGTGTATCTTTGAGTAAGTTTGGGTAGCTTTGGGTAATTAGACTGACCCCTTTCTTAGCTCATTGTGGGACATATTATTCACTACTACATATAATGCATTTCTGATGTCCCTTTGATGGGCACTGTCTCTTAGGTAGCAGTCCAGACATTGTCCTTCTCACATGCTGAAGCATCTGCTGCTCAGTTGTTGTTTCTATCTTGAATCTCCATGGAATTTGTATCGAAGATGAGTTCTTGCAATTACAGATTTCCTCCATTGGCCATCATTCAATGGTGCTTATAGTGCCTACCTTATAAAGTGGGTTGAGGTAAGATCATTGAGGTGAAGACATAAGGGATTATATGTTAAGTTATATTTATGAAGCATTAATGTAGCAAGAGAGGAAGCAATATTGAATTTTGCTTCATTCTTTTGTATGATTTTTGTAGTATATGATAGATGCAAATTTTATTCACTGTCCTATAATATTTTTCTTTGATGGAGAGTTTAGCATCCCAGAAGTTAACATGTTCCCGAGTTTGTGTGTGTAACCATATTTATAATTTGTAAATAACCGTCTAATTTGACTCAAATATACAGTCATTTACCTGATGGGTATGTTGCATGAATTTACCATGAGGGCAACTAACATTTTAGTGGCCTCGATGAGGACAGGAGTCCAGTGGCTTGTCACAGGTCCCTCCATTTGTCCTGATTATTCTTTCTAGCTGGATTTTAAAACTTAACAGAGCTTTGGCATTTACAGCTTCTGCGGGTAGGAAGTTCCATGGGTTTATAATCCTGTTCGTAAAAAACCATATATAGAAAAGATATATATATATTGTAGTTGTATATACCAATACTACACAATTTTTATAGAAGTATTATATAGCACTTATGTTACTTCAAATCAAAAATCAAAATCACTCAAAAATCAAAATGTTTATTCAGATAAAGTACATGCATAGAAGATGAGTTACAAACATAATGTTGTATTTATAGATAGAGCAAGTAAATAAAATACCTAAAGCCACTAATACGCATAGCATTTCGGGCAAGGTGTGGGGAAAAAACTCTTAGACCAAAGCTTAATACTAATTGAGATTAAAGTTTAAATTGTGAAGAAAAAGGAAAAAAAGGGGGGGAACATGGCAGAAATCAGCAATTATACAACTTGGTCAACAAACAGTATTGTTTGAAAATTGCAAGACATGGGTAGACAATTTAGGGATAAGGTAGGTTACATGGAGTTTATTAGGTAGTACTTAGTTTTCTCTTAAACTTCATACATTGTGCAATCTTGTGTATATGTTAATTGGGTGGGGTCAGTAATTCAACCTTGGAGAGGGGGGGAGACCTTGATATAAGTCTAACATATCAATACACTCTGGCTTCCTGGTCCCTGAAACAATGAATTATTATTATTATTATTAAATAGACACTATATGCTGAAATTTTAAAGAGTTTCTTACCCAGTAAAAATGCACATTTCCATTTTGAACTTCAGTTGAATTACCCTGGTGAAGGTGAGCAAGTCTTCTAAAGCATTGTCTTGAAAAGTTCTAATATCTTAAAAAAATATTAAGTATTGATATTGAAGTATTGATCTTTTTATTGGGTGATAAAGCAGGACATTATCAATATCGATATCGGTATAAATTTAAATCTTATAAAAGGTGATGTGTATCTGTTTATAAAGATCTTAGTAACCTACTTTATTCATTTAAATTTAGTTAAATGGGTTCTTTGATATTAATGTATTACTGAACTGGATTATCATTATTGCAATATTATAATTATTTCAGAATGGCTGAAGGGGTAGAAGTTGTGGAGGATTTTTATGGAGTATATTTGCTGTATTGCATCAACCCAAAGTATCGTGGTTCTACATACATTGGCTTTACTAGGGACCCTAACCGCCGCATCAAACAGCACAATCGGGGTCGTAAAGCTGGGGGAGCTATCAGGACGAGTTATAAGGGCCCATGGTAAGTGGCTTTTCTGTTGGTTATGTATTTTGTTGATGGATAATTACAGTAAATAGTTTTATTATATTTATTATTTTTATTATATATATATTATATATATAATTGCGTACAGATACTTAGTACGTTATAAAAAACAATAAATTGTTGATGAAAGTTAATTAGTGTACCATGACACTGAGTTGGGGGTCTCTATAGGCCATTGCTCCTCGTGCCTCTCTAGAGGGGGGCCAGGTTCTGGCTCGTGGTCCCCGGTAGGAAAGAGCTCCATGCATTGACTGATGCCAGAAAGTTACACATATCCATTCAGCCTGGATAGCTCCGGGGAGCCTCCGGGACTCGCCCAGAAAATGACGTTTCATTACATTCAACGCTGGTTTTTTGTGATGACAACTCCAGAGGATGGGCTCAATATACAGTCCTGTACTGTACTTTGGAATGAGAGTAGTTTGAATAACAAAGCACCTGTAACATTATGGAGCAGCATAAGAAATAGTTATTATAAATAATTATTATTGTGTTATTTTATTAACACTTTATTATAAAAGCATTCTATTTTCAGGGAAATGGTGTTGATTGTCCATGGATTTCCCAATGATATCTCTGCTCTACGTGTAAGTATGCACTCAAACTGCCATACATTAGCTATGAATGAACTAAGATTGTTATAACCAAAATTTATTTTTTTATTCACCCCTACAGTTCTTCATAAAAATATAGAGGCATGTACAGTGTGTGCCAACTGGGTGTTTGTTTACTAGGTGTTTATGGTAAAATGTATAGCAGAAACGTGGTGGGGGGAATTACTGAGAAATTGATCAGTGACAACAAAGGTGGGGTTCTTTAGCAGTACAGGTGTGTAAATCAAATATTTGCATAGAAATAGCTCATAAAGAAGGTATGTGAAAAAAATTGAAAAGTGTACATGGCATTTATGGACTTGGAATAAGCATATTGTGACGGTAAAGTGTTGGAGTGTTGATGTTCGAAACTAGTGGAACATATAAGGAACATATAATTGCCACACACAACGATCACCAGGGATATTTTGACGAGCGACACTGAAATAATTGATAGATACAATGACAATAGGAGATTAGACATCAGTGAAGTGCTGCATATCAAGAAATCTAGACCAGCATTCAATAACCAGCTAATACACAGTTACACTTTACCCACTTATTATAGGCTTTTAGCTATATAAGCTAGATATAAGCATGGGATTTTCTGCATGGCTATATAAGACCCCAGGCCAATGCAGAAGCTGGACCAAATGATCCTGCAGCAGGAACGGAAGCGGCCAGAAGAGCATAAACTGCCAGCATGTCACACTCTTACTTTACTACCCCATTAATATCCCATTCATTTAATACCACATTCATTAAATATCCCATTCATTTAATACCCCATGTATGTCTCATCCATGGCACCTACCACCTCACCACTAGAGGATATAATCAGGATTAAACACAGAAGAATTTGTCTTTGAGAATGTGAGGTGAGATCTTACAAAACGTATCACTAGGCATCGGACCCAAATAATAAGTAAAAATGAACTTTGGAGAGTTAATTTTTAATCTTCCTGCTTCATTGAAGAAAAACATAAGGAATATCAAGAAGATGTGTGCTAGAATCATAAATCTAAAACTTTGTCATTTTCAACTAAATAAATAAATGTGTGTGTATGTGTATGTATATTTAATATTTATTTATTTAAACATGTTTCATTGAATATAACTCCTAACATTGAAAAGCCATTCATTGAAAAAGTATAACTCCTAATCAAAACATAGACCTAATCATATTCTATAAAACAAAGAAAACTACTGACCTCCTTATTAAAAACAGTCCAGAGTCAACGTAGAACCCTTTACAGCAGTCAAACATGGTATATATACTGTATGTACATCTGCCCCCACGAAGGATGTAGCCTTCAATCAAAGTACGTAGGTATGATGTCGACCAAGCTAATGAGGCATTTGACCTGTCATCTTCAATCGGGTTCCCCCTAAAATCACACGAGACAAGCTCATGACATCACCCTAACAAGAAAAATGTTGAATAAAGACACTTGAAAAATAGATAAAACCCAGGATGTAAGATTACAAATTCTTGAAGCAATCCATATAAAATTAGAACAACCTACCATAAATACTCAAATTACGGAACTATTCACTCTACCCACCTTGAGAGTAAGAACAAAACCGGAACATGAAGATGCCAACATAGAAGACACTACTCAACATAATAGGCCTACTACACCCAATTAATCTTTGTAAGTGCTCTGTCCCCTATTTTCGCCTTTTTTCTTTTACGCCTTATCTTTTCCTTTATTCTTGTCCCATTTGTATAGATCTACTTGTCTTCACCTGATCCCTTACTGGTATAAATCTAACACATCTTGTATTTTCTTATCACTTGAGAATAAACCATGTAGGTTCGAAACGTTGTGTAAGTTTTATAATAAGTGTAATACATTCTACAGTCATTTATTTCTTTTTCTTCACCTCGAACGAAGATGACCTTTGGAGAACTCCTCTTCCATGTTAGGTTTTTTATCGAGGTCTCCCCAACCAGATCGAATTACTGACCCTGCCCAGATGCAACCCCACATCAAGCTGACTAACTCCTGAGTACATATTTACTACTAGGTGAACAGAGGCATTAGGTGAAAGAAAATATGCCCAACCATCTCTGTCCTGCCCAGGATTTGAACCCGGAATTCTCGATTGTGCGTCGAGAACGAACCCGAGGGTACTAGGCGGGATCCTTATGAATGATATAATGGTTTGTATGAAAGAAAGTGTAGGGGATGGAGGGTTAGTGAGCTGGAAAGAAAGGTTGTTGTATTGTTGTAATGACTGGTATATAAAGTTTAGACCTTACATTGTGTGGTGATGGGGTGGTTTTCTCCTAGGTTTTGCTTCTGGCTGTAGGGTTGAGGAGCTCCTGGCTTCTAGTGAGCCAGATTCTGTTCTGGCTCCTAGTGGGCGACAGCTGAGTCTCAGAGTCTTGATGTGTTGGGCTAAGACTTGTTTGATCTAGAATTAAGCTCAGGGAGCTACTGGGACCCCATTAGAAGATGGCATTTCATTATATTCATCCAGTTTATTTTATTGGCTTGTATGACTTGATTGATGCTTCATCAACCCGAGAAAATATGAAATGGGGTAGTGATGATGAGGATAAAATTATTGATTGAGCATATCACTATTGATTGGTCTGGCTAACAGTTCTGCACTAATTACATGCTAATTTGACTCTTCTATAATGGTAAAGTTTTTGTAAAGGTGGTGAGCAATTATATATACTATATGCTAAAAAAAAATTGAAAAATTTGTTGACCTTGAGACTTCAATTAAACATACATATTTACATGGTAAATTGAATTGCATTTATAATGGGTAATATTATAGTAAAGAATTGTGTATACTTTTCAGTTTGAATGGGCTTGGCAGCATCCTTACAGGAGTCGTCGCTTACGAAATGTCTGCGAAAAACCACGGAAACAGAATAAGTATGACTTCTGCCTGCAAATCTGTTCTCACATGTTGCGTACAAAACCATGGTCTCGTCTTCCTCTTACAATTAGGTGGTTGAAGCAGGAGTACACAAGGGACTTTCCTGTAAGTTATGATCAACATTAATACTGTAGTAGTAAATTAACCAACATTTTAATTATTCAAAACTATAATTCATATACCGGGGTACCTCGGTTTAAGAGTTTAATCCGTTCCTGGAGACAGCTCGTATTCCGAAAACACGTAAACCGAAGCTAATTTCCCCATAAGAAATAATGGGAAATGAATTAATCCGTTCCTGACTACCCAAAAACCTCACTTCAAACTAAATTTTATACCTAATTCATCTAAATAAACCTACAAAACTATGTTCAAGTTATTACTTACCCTTGCTGATGAATGCTGTAGGCGTATGGAAGATGGTGAGGAGAGGTGTTACTGTATGCAAGGGGAATCCCCCTTCCATTATAACATCAGGCTGTGAGGACCTCTCTGGGGTGCATTCTCTGGCACGTTTTGCCTGCATACCACTAGGTCCTGGTTGTGGCTCACTGCTCGATTTTCCCACAAATCAGTCCATGGAAGATTGTTTTTCCCTTCTTCGCAAGATGTGTCTGTAGTGGGGCATCACATTGTCATTGAAAAGCTTAATGCAACGCCCTACTACAGCTTTCTCTGGGTGAGTCTTTTCAATAAAAGCTTGCATTTCTTCCCACATCTGACAACACTTCTTAATGGTTGCAGAAGGGACATTCTGTACTGCCTCATCCTCCTCCACTGGAGAAACATCCTCAGGTGGGTCTTCTTGCTGTTCCTTATGAAGGGCTTGGAGTTCTTCGGTGGTCAGTTCTTCGTTGTGTTCTTCCACAACTCCTCCACATCATCACCATCCAATTCTTCCACATCATCACTATCCAATTCCAAGCCCATTTGCCGGCCCAGAGTAACAATTTCCTCAACAATAGGCACATCATTTACAGGCTCAAACCCCTCAGTCTAGTTCTGTCACACATTCCGGCCACAATTTTCTCCAGCCAGAGATCAGGGTTCTTTGAGTCACTTCTTGCCAGGCTTTGTCAACGAGGTTTAAAGCACTACACATGTTAAAATGGTCTTTCCAGAACTCTTTGAGGGTGAGTTTTGTGGCTTCAGTCACTTCAAAACATTTCCAGAAAAGTGCCCTTTCATAAAGTTTCTTAAAATTCGCTAGGATTTTCTGGTTCATAGGCTGAATTAGAGGAGTGGTATTAAGAGGAAGGAACTTTACTGTAAGAAATTTACTGTATCTGTGCAACAATTCATCTTCCAAGCCTGGAGGATGAGCAGGAGCATTGTTGAGGAGAAGCAGGGCCTTGAGTGGCAAATGTTTCTCCTGCAGATATTTTTCTATGGCAGGGCACACCACTTCATTCACCCACTCTGAACAAAAAATCCTAGTCACCCATGCCCTTTTATTAGCCCTCCCCATCACACACATTTGGGTTTTCTGCACTTTATACTGTTTGAACACCCTTAGATTTTCAGAATGGTACACAAGCAAGGGTTTAATTTTCAAACTGCCACTCGCATTTGAACACAGCACAAGCGTAAACCTATCTTTCTTAGGCTTGTGTCCGGCCAATGATTTTTCCTCCTTGGTAATGTATGTCCTCTTAGGCAATCTTTCCAGAACAGTCCTGTTTCATCACAATTAAAAACTTGTTGCGATAGGTATCCCTCAGCCTCTGCAAACTCTTTAAATTCTTCAATAAATCTTTCAGCCGCTGGTTTGTCTGAGGTGGCAGCCTCCCCATGCCTCGCAACACTATGGATACCACTTCTTTTTCTAAATTTTTCAAACCATCCCCTGCTTGCCTTAAAGTCTATCGTATCTGCACTCGTTCCAGGGGTTTTCTTTACAAGGTCTTCGTGCAATACCCTGGCTTTCTCACAAATGATGGCCTCTGAAACACTATCACCCGCTAACTCCTTGTTGTGTATCCAAATTAATAACAACTTTTCCACTTCATCAAGTATTTGTGGTCTTTGATTGTTCTTACGCCTTTTGCCACTTTAGCACTCATAATGTCTTTTTTCTTGCTAAGTATAGTGCATATTGTTGACGTGACTTTGTTATACTGCCTGCAAAAGTTCAACAACATGTGTACCATTTTCATGCTTCCGAATGATCTCTTTGTTTTTCCTCTATTGTCATCCTCACATGCGCTTTCTTGCCTTGATCCTTACCACTGGCTTTCTTGGGACCCATGGTAAGATATATAATAACAACTTTTATGGTCAAATGGGCAAAAATCCAACAGACCACTGAAAATCCTGGTGAAGAATTTAGGCGGGATAGTCACTGGGCACGAGGCACTGGTAAACTGATGGGCGATCGCCGTGCCACCACGTGCTAGGTCAGCCTGTACGCATATCAACACCTCGCCTTCCAAGCAAATCCTGCTCGTATTCCGAAAAACTCTTATACAACGACACTCGTATTCCGAGGTACCACTGTACAGTATTTGAAATTAAGGCAAATAATGTTTTTGTGGACACCCCCTTCAGCTCTCCTGGAGCTATACCGGGCTGATGTGTATATATTAGACTGTGGCAACAGTCAATCGATGGAGTTCTAAGCCTAGAGGGGACCAGTGCCAGAACCTGGCCCTCCCCTCAGAGGCACTAGGAGCAATGGCCTATAGATAGCTCTGTGTAGTTAGAAGCAGTCTATATCTGCCACCCACCAGATCAGGCACCCAGAAAGGTAGGAATCCCAAAACAAACTACAGCCGGTGAAAAATTGATAACCGAAAGCTGAACAAGCTAGCAGAACTCCCCAATCACAAAATAAGCAAACAGACATGACATCACCTCAGCCACCACGCTGCTGTCTGCACAACTCCCACCTCCCAAGGAGGGGGAAGGGGGGGTCCCAGACTTCCTGTGCTGGCTACCTAACCCCAGTTCTGAGGCTGTTGTGTTGGGTGGCAGTCGATCGACTCTGGCTCCAATCCTTGAGCAGTGCTGTGCCTTGTGGTGTTGTGTGGTAATGTGCAAGTCAGGAGTAATTCCTGAAGTACTGGGGCTGAATGCACCTAGGGTCCCCTTCCCTAGGTGCCCTTCCTTAGGTGCCCTGTAAGTACTTCCCTTGCGATTTAGGGTTATCTTCCATAAGCCGTTCAGGAACTACCTCCGTAAGTTTCTTTTGCTGCTTGGGTAATGCCCACCATTGGGGTCAGTTGGGGTTGTTCCTGCCTCTGTTTGACCTTGGGTAGGAGGTAGTATCGTCGCTGGCTGGGGCGCAAAGTACTGTGCACCTGTCTGATATGCACAGTGCGGCCAGCTCTGTTCCCCTGGGGACGTTGTGGTTTTGCTGGGTTTTCTTTTCTTTTTTGTTTTGTTTGCCTGGTGAGGAGTCTGCCTTGTGTGGCTTGTAGGTCTTGTATTTTTGGTGGCCTTTCTCCAGGCACCCCCCTCCCCCATGACTTGCACGTCGCAGGGGTTCAATTTTTAGTTTGTTTGCTTGGTAGCTCTGGGATAACCGGTTAGCAGTACCTTGCTAACCATAGCAGTACCTTGCTAACCATAGCAGTCAGCCCAAGGTCTCTGGAATCCTCCATTTGGGCTCATTGGTCCGATGAAGGAAACCTCCGAGTCCCACCTCGCTTCATGTGAGTTTTAAGGTTGCTCTGTCCCCTTGTCTCAGGGTGACATTCACTGTCTTTGCCTCCACCATGCTGCCTGTTGGGTCGATGACACCTTTGACCAGGAGTCTTGCGAGTGGTGCTCATTGCATGTACTCCAGTTCCATCCAGTCCATATTCGGGGTGCAGGCAGCTTCAGCGTTGCATGCGAGATTTAGTTTGCAGTGATGTGCTCGGTTGGTTGCCTTTCCGGATGCCCCGCGGCTGCCCTGTTTGGGTTATAGTGACCCGGACTTGGGGATGTTAGTCGTCTTGACTGGTTTCATACTTCCCTCCCTTGTCTTCCCCTGCTGTGGTTCATCCCACTCCCCTCACCCCTTGCTCCCGGCTCCCAAACGTCTGAGGATTTCGGAGTCGAGGCAGGGTTTTTTTGGTGGTAAGACTTGGGCGGCTTCGGGGACAGCCCCTTCTGGATCAGCGGCAGAAGCATTCAAGCCTGTTCCTCCTGCCTGAGCTTTTGGATCGCACCAGAGGACCCCCTTCATCCCTGCTTATTTGTTGAACTCTGCCTGTTCTCTGTAGACAGAGGGTTTGGAGGACGGCACGGCTCTGGGTCATGACGTGAAGGATCCTGGGGCTGGGGAGGATTTGATTCGGGGAGAGGGCTTGGGTCCCCATTTGACCCCACTTGGCTGTTGGTACCCTTGGCACGGGGCTTGTTGTTACAGGGGAAGGGGTTTCCTATTCCCCCTCCCTCTGCAAGTTTGATATGGGTTCAACTCCTCCCAGGGTTTGGTTCCGGATTCCCTTGGGTTCATCGGTTCCCTCCTTCCGGAGGTTTTCGGTTTCCTGCATCCCGCCGTGGGAGGCCCTTGCGGCTTACCTCCTGCAAAACCCGGATTATGCATCAATAATGGATCCTTCTTCTTTTGAGTTTGGCTCCTCTTTTCCTTACTAGGTGTGTTACGAGGTGCCGGAGTCTTCCTGGCTGGCAGACTGTTCTTTCTTTTTGTTGGGGGCGTGGCATACATTCTGTCAGACCTGCATCCTTGAATGGCGGGAGTTGACTACGGTCATTCAGGTTTACCTGGGGGGCAAGTTTGAGCACCTCAGTGCATTCTTGTTCGCCCCTGTGCTTCCTTGTGATATCGGCCAGGGGCAGTTTCACGTGCAGGTTCCCTCCATTTTGGCATCCCTGGTGGCCGAGGATTTGCGCACCTTTGGCTTCGGTCTTGTGCTTCTTTTTCCTTGCTGGAGCTGTCTTCGGACTGGCTCGAGGAGGATGTAGAGAAGCTGGGTGTCCAGTGCGCTCGCCTCGGCAGCTTGGGCATAGCCTGTCTTGTTGAAGTTGTATGCGCCGATTCTGGAAGAAGCGGTGTGTGTCTGTTTTTCGCTTCTCACCTCACGTGCCGACAGCCGGTGCTCTTAGATTTTTGTCTCCTTTTTGTTCGTTGCTGTTTGCAGAGTCTGTGGTGGTGCATTTTCTGCAAGCGGCTTCGTCTAGTTGCCCGCCTATGTTGGACTTGTTGGTTATGCAGTTAACCATGCAGTACATACAATACACAAATAAAATTTTCTCGCGGACCAGTGGTTGGCGACCGCTGCTCTTACTACATTGGCTGTTGTGGATTTTATTGGTATCCTCATTGCTATTTTTATTTCACTTCCAGGTAGGGCTGGAGCCACCACTGCACATGCCAGTGGCTTATGGTCCTGTAAAACCTATTAAGGTGACAGCCTCAAAAGACATCATCGAGGTTCTGCAGCAGATTGATGAAATGTGTTTTATCTGTGAGCGCATGGTGACACAGTCAGATAAAATGAGGTTAGTAATAAAAAATTACATACTATACTTTAATCTTCATGATAAATATGAAATGGCTTCATAAAAGTAATATCAATGGTGTCATAGTAGTGTAGTGCAGGAGTCAATTTACAAATTCTTTCTTTATTATGCACCCCATACCTATCCCATGGGCAGTGGTGGAAAGGGTTACAGAGGCATATAATCAGTTCAGGAACTGAACCCCATGGTTCATTTAGCTGAGCAAGTGACAATCTTTTGAAACTAGTTACACAATTGTTAACATTACATACACATGTATATATATATACAATCATTTACACAAATACATATACATATCAATTATCTTTTTATATCACAAGTGATTCAACAAGAGGTTCACAAGTCAATATACAAGGCAATGGGTTTCGTACCATTTTTTGGGTGGCAATATACCTTCCTGGGGGAGCCATTTGGAGGTTTCTTAAAGCTGTCACTGGGACAACATTCTACTACTGAATTAACAACAGTCATGTGATTCCTGTTTGACCTACTGTATCAGGGACCAGAGCCAGAACCTGGGCAGCTCTTTGAGGCGTAGAGAGCAGGGAATTGTTACCGTCACCCTCACGGAGAAAGCATCCAGAAAATAAGTGAAGCAATGCAGACAACTAGACTAGGTTATGCACCCGCTTGTTCAAACGGCATGCCATAGATACTTTCCATAGCCGGGTTTATCCGTTGATTGTGTTTGGTGTCTTGTGTTTTGGCAAGCATCCCTAGTGCCTTGGTATCCTGCTTGATTAGTTGCGTGCAAACCCTGGTAACTTCCCTCTGGGTCTGTGGTGTTGCTCATCATGGATTGACCCATTAAATCTGCACTTGCTACGTGCAAGTTTGAGGGCTGCTTAAACCATGCTGGCTGTTGAGTCTGTGACATCTTTGAACCCGAGTCCTGAGAAGTGTGTGCTCGTTGAGTCTCTTTGTTAGCTGAGCTTGCCTCAAATCAGCTTTTTGAAGCTTATTTTTCTCGTATTCATGGTTTCCATCATAGTTTGATTGGATACCGCTGATGTGGCTCCCCTGGGGTATTTAGGGATCCAGATTTAGCACAGTTGATGTATTCCACCTGGACTTGGTCTATCCCTCCTCTTCCTACTCCTACTGGCATAGTTTACCCAATATTTCATCTTCACCTTCCCTTCTCCTGCAGGTCCGGCTCCAAAGCGTCTGAGGTTTTAGAGTCAGGTCATGGTTTAGCTTTGGAGCAGTTTGGCCACCTCTAGGGGTGGCCCATCCAATTCAACGTAGTAGGCAGTTGAGTTGTTCCTTCCTGCTGAAGATGCACGGCCCTTGCCTTCACAACCAAGACTTGGCTCGAATCCTTCTCCTTAGGACAATGCCATCATATTTCAGGCACTGAGCGCAGAATGCAGCTCTGCCCCACAGCTATCATGGCTCGCTTCTGGGTCTGAGGAGGAGCCCATGGAGGGTACATGGGTGTTCTTCAACCACTCCTGGTTTTTGGTTCAATCTGATGAGGCTCTTTTGTTCCAAGGAGAATTTTTTCTATACCCCTGTGATGTTTGAGCTCGATTACTTAACTGCTTCCCCTTGGGTGCACTTCTGTGTGCAATCAAGTTCTACTAAATCTGCTTATTTTTGGAGGTTTCTGTCATCCTGCATTTTCACCTTCTGTGGAGTGGGCAGACTTTGCTTTCTTGATGGACTCAGCCTCATTTGAGTTTGGGTCTGCCTCTGCCTATTGGCTTTGGTAAAAGGTACCCGATTCATCCTGGCTGGCTGACAATTCTCTTCTTGGAGGCTTGGCATGGATTTTGCTTAACCTGGATGCTTCATTGGCAGGAAATGAGTTCTATCTTTCAAATTTTCTTAGGTGATGCTCCTTACGCACTGCTTGAGGACTGCTTGTTTGCGCCAGTGCTCCCCAAGGACATGGGCAAGTGGCAGCTCCGTGTACAGCCATCTGTGCTCTCTGGAGCCCTTACTGTGAAGAACCACAGGGCTCATACACACTTGACAGCTGTCATGTGTGTTTGAGCTGTTGTGGAGCTGTTTTCAAATCAGATTCGTGGCTTTGGACATTCTAGCATCTATTCTCGGTGTAGTCACTTTGTTATTGCTTACAGTTTCAGCTTCAGTGGCTCTGTCCAAGTTGCTTGCCCCCATCTTTTGGGCGAAAGTGGCTCGTTTCATGTGCCAGCAAACTATGCTGGCTTGGGGTTTTAGATTTGGCATGGTCCTTAACACTTTTGTCTGCTTCCCTCCTTTCGTCTCATCTCTTTCTTGAGGATGCTGTATCTTAGGTTATTTCGGCAAGTGTGGCCTCTCGTTTAGGTTTTGTTGCAGAGAGGTTCAGTCCCTTTGGCTTGGAGGCAGTCTGGTAAGGTCTAGGCCCCTGTCTGCTGTTGGCTGGGGTAGCCCCTGCGCCTGCGTCAGGGGCGCATGACAGCTGAGTGGACAGCGCTTTGGATTCGTAGTCCTGAGGTTCTGGGTTCTATCCCCGGTGGAGGTGGAGACAAATGGGCAAAATGTTTCTTTCACCCTGATGCTCCTGTTCACCTAGCAATAAATAGGTACCTGGGAATTAGCTGCTGCGGGCTGCTTCCTGGGGGGTGTGTAATAAAAAGGAGGCCTGGTCGATGACCGGGCCACGGGGACGCTAAGCCCTGAAATCATCTCAAGATAACCTCAAGCCCTCCAATGGAGTCGGATTCTCAGATCCTTGAACTTCCTTTGGCTGTTGCATCCTCTGCTCACTGGTGCAGTGAGCAGTTATATGTTGCAGTTATATGTTGCAGGAGAGTTGCTCTGCTCGTGGGTCTTTATGCAGGCCCTTTTGTTATTCACCCTTTTGACAGTGCTGTGAGGGGACTTCTGGCCTGTTTTGCCTGTTTCCATGGCTCATGAGTTTACTGGATCATCTTCCAGGGTCTTCTGTGAGGTTGGTCTACTCCTTACTCTGTTAGGTTCAGGAATGTTGGATTGATTCCACCCTTCAGCACCACATGTTCATTGCAACATGGTTGAACTCATTTCTTCAGTTGGTGTCTCAGTTTTTCCCGATTCCCAAATGGAACTTGGCAGATCTACTGTACAATCTCGGCCTCTCGGGACTGAATAGTTTCATTCCCTGTCTGACCTTCTGCATGACCACTTTAGCTCCAGTTCACCTGGTTTTGCAAATGCATTCCTGGATGGTGTCCCTGGACCTCAAGAACACATACTGGCAGGTTCCTATTCATTTGAGTTAATAAGACTAGTTAGGGTTTGTTGTGGGATGCCAGGCTTACTGTTTCAAGGTTCTGCACTTTGGCTTGAATATGGCTCCTTGGATATTCTCCAAGTTTGTGCAGGTGGTGTGATCTGGCTTCATATTTTGGGTGGTCATACCATGGCCTGTCTTGATGGCTGGCTGGTTTGGTTCCCCAGCCAGTCTGTGACAGCTGCCCAGGGATCTTGCCTGGTTTGTTTTCTTGGTGAACTGGTGGAAGTCCCAGCTGGGTAAATAATTCATTGTGTTGGGGGACAGGCTGCCAGAGTGTATTCATACACGTTAAGCTTATATTGAGGTCCAAAGGTCGAATTACTAACCCCACCCAGTATACAACCCCACAACACGCTAACTAACTCCTGAGTACCTACTTACCACTAGGCGAAAGGAAATGTGCCCAACCATTTCTGTCCTGCCTGGGATTCGAACCCAGTATTCTTGATTGTGCGTCGAGAACAAACCCAACTGTACTACCGGGACCCTAAATCCCATGTTCCATCCCAAGTTTGGACCTTGTTATGTCTGGTTTAGGTTTCCTGGTTGGCATCCCTTTCCCTGCCTCCTGCAGCTCTTCTCTGCCAGCAGCTGTGTCACCATCTGGTGTTGGATCACCCCTGGATGAGTTGTTAGTTGGTCAAGTAGATATCGTATAACCCCATTGGTAGGGTTTGGTTCTGGGTGCTGTTCTAATTCCTCCAGTTCTGCCAGTTTCCCTGCTCCTGAAGCCATTACATTTGGGTCCTTCCCACCCTTCATTGGCTCTTGCTTCACCTGCCTCCTCTTCCTCTTCAGGCTACGCTGCTCACACAAGGAGGTGGAGGATAGTCCTATGGAACCAAGCCTCGGGAAGCCTGAAGAGGAAGCCAGTGATGCAAGACCCAATGAAGGGTGGGAAGGACCCAAATATAATGGTTCAAGCAGCAGGGGAAAACAGGCATAACTTGATGAACCAGAACAGTACCCAGAGCCAAACCTTAGCCTTATCGGTTGGTCAAGCAGATACCACATCTGCTTGACCAACTGATAACTCGTCCGAGAATGATCCAATACCAGACGATGACAGTGCTGCTGTGGAGCAGAGCCACAGGAAGCAGGAAAAGGAATGTCAACCAGGAATCCCAAATCAGACATAATCAGGTACAATCTTGCGATGGAACCAACTGGGACTTTTGCCAGTTCACAAAGAAAACGAACCTGGCAAGATCCCTGAGGTGACGACACATGGACTGGCTGGGAAACCTAACCAGCCAGCCATAAACATAGGCCATAGTGTGACCTCCAAAAATATGTAGCCAGGTCACAACCACCTGTGCAAACTTGGTAGATATCCAAGGAGCCATATTCAAGTCTAAGGGCAGAACTTTGAAACATTAAGTCCCACAACAAACCTTATGCAGTCTCATTAACTCGGATGAGTAGGAACCTGCCGGCATGTGCTCTTGAGGTCCAAGGACACCCTCCAAGAATCCATTTGCAAAACCAGGTGAACTTGAGCTAAAGTGGTCATGCAGAAGGTCAGACAGAATGAAGCTGTTCAGTCCCGAGGAGCCAAGGGACTGTACACTACTGCTGTAAAACAGCAGTGTTTTGTATTTGAAACCTCCTTCAGCATTGCCACAAGTAGAAGAATAGGTTAGCTGTATCACATTGAAGCACAATATGCTGGTTGTCTTGAGTTTTCTTATAGACACATGTGATTAGAAATTAAATGAAGATACAGTAATTATAAGCATGCAAAAATACTTGAAACATTTGAAATTAAATTTCCCAGATGTCTGTCTCCTTCGTGTCCACTGGTCGCCCACATCCAATGTCTTGCAAGCCACATGCTAGAGAAGGAGACCCCTGGGATGCTGCTCCCCTTGGATGGATTCTGCCCTAGGTGTAACTGCGCACTCTTGTGGGGGGACCTGGTGAGGTTGAAGCGCGGCTGCTATCAGAAGTTGGAAGATGAGGATGATGACCATTGGGCTGAATCTCTCACTCAAGTTTCTTGATGTCGTGAAATGTTTGTTCCCCGTCCATTTGTTCGTCAGTAGAGTTTAATTATTGTGAAACTTATGATGAAAATTTTTGCTGTCACTGAATAATAGACCAGCTGGATATTTATTTGCTATAAATTAATACTGTACGTACTGTACTTATTTCATAAAGTTGGTGATACAGTATGTATCTCTGGCAGATTTAATTTCTTAACCCATAAACCTAATACCTGTACCTATTTTAGGTTGATTTCCTTGTGTGTGCAAAAAAAAAAAATATGAAAATTATTTTTCCTTTCTATATAAAACATTTTTGTTTGATATCTGGAAACAAAATTCTAGTCATTTACATTTGGTCGTAGTGAGGTAAAGAAATTTTGAAAATGTTAAATTCTGAGAATTAATTTTCAAGTGAACTATTAGATTTCTAATCACAAATATCATCTTGGTCCATAAAAACCCTTGAAATTTTGCAGTGTCAATAGCACCTATTATAGGCATCAATAAATGGATGATTGATGCCTGTGTTTGTAATAGTGCCCAGAAAGGCAACTAAGGCTGTCAGGAAAGAATCTTTGGGAATTTTGGATATTATGAGGCACATTAAATCTTCTACAGATGACAGGAGCACCACCAGTCATCTATCTCTTGAGAGTGATCTTAGCAGTTTAAGGGTTAAGAATACCCCCCCTGCCAATTCAGTATTCTGCCTTGTATGTGCATGTACACATGTTATTTCACTTGTTCGTTCTCAACTCGCAATCAGGAATTGCATGTTCGAATCCCGGGTGGGGTAGAAATGGTTGGACACGTTTCCTTTCACAAAATGCACCATAGTTCACCTAGCAGTAAATTGGTACCCAGGAGTTAGTCAACTGTTGTGGAGTTGGGGGCAGATCCTCAACAATCCTGGGGGCAGATCCTCAACAATCCTGGGGGCAGATCTCTATATAAGCCTATAAACATATGTATAAACATATATACATACACAGGCAGCCTTTCCAAGACAAAATTAATTATATATTTAAATAACTGTGAACATACAGTACTGTGATCAAAGAGGTAATGTATAAGTTGTAAATAATATAAAACATTATATTTTTGGCACATAGTGTACTGTATTTTGTTTTTAATAAACACTTGGAGGTCACCTGTGCAAAGTATGAGTTTCACTTTTTTACTACAGATTTCATCTGGCATTAATATGTTTTCCAAATTATGTACTGGCTAGTTGAGACAAATGAATCTTGTAACTAATTCTCAGCTGTGACAAAAGAAATCACACTTGCACTATTTAGTAGATTATATATGTTGTCCTAACTACCATTGATGGGAGTATTTGTTTTTGGCTGCCAAAGAACATAGTAAATTTAGTTTATTTAAAAAATACATTATTGTGCCGTATCTGTAATTATCTAAGTGTAGTTGCAGGATGAGAACTGCACTCATGATGTCTTGTCTTCCCCTATAAGCTTTATCATATGTTGTTTTGAAGCTTACAATGTTTTTGGCATCCACCACCCTCTCATTTGATATATTCCAACCATCCACAACTACTGTACTGTATTTGCAAAAGAGAACTCTGAATCTATGGCACCTTGTTTTTGGAATTGCTGGTTTAAAAATTCCACTCACAGGATGTATATAGGGGTTGCACAATAAACTATCCACTGTTCATGGCGACAATAAAAATTTATTGTCTGGGTGGGTTAGGTGCCACAGGGGTCACTTGCCATCTGCCAGTGTTTACCTGCTGCAAGGCTTTGCATTTTCTATCTTGCAAGGGAATGTGAGATTGCATGCAACATTTAGTGGTGGATGATGTTTTTTTTATAATTATTATTATTATTTTCTACCACAGACGTGGCCACACATTTACAATGCTCACTAGCATATATACATTTTCTTCTGTCCTCCATGGACAGGGTGAAAGATTTGTCAAACATACAGTTCAGAGATTTATTGAACAACCACATAAGGTGATCGTAGTGCTTTTAAAATGTTAGGCTAAGCTACATACGTAAATACATAAATACACAGATTTATGAATGCATTAATGTGAATTTATAATGGTGAGATGATGGGGTCTTTGCTATATGTATGTAAATCACGGAAATTAAAATGAGATGAAAAATGAGACGGTGTCAGACCACGAAACAAGAATTGAAACAGGAATTTCCTCAAGTACTTTTGTATTTAATGATACATCTTCAGAAGCAATGAAGATTCCTTCTAAAGATGTATTATTAAATAGGAAAGTACTTAAGGAAATTCCTGTTTCAATTCTTCCTTCGTGGTTTGACACTGTCATATGTACATAAGTATATGTATACATGTATATGTACATATACATATGTACATAACCTCTGATGGGGTATGAGGGAAGTTGAAAAGTTTTGATAGTTGAATTGAATGTACAGTACATGAATATATGGACTGATACTGGTGTAAAACTACTTGTATATATTTTCTGGGGGGAGCCCCTTCGGCTCCCCGAAGCTTACTAGGCTGATATGCTAATGTCAGACTTTGGCATCAGTCATGTGTATGGAGCTCTGTGGGCCTACCAGGGACCACGAGCCAGAACCTGGCCCCCTCAGAGATGCATGGGAAGCAATGGCCTATAGAAACCCCCGTGTGGTTGGAAGCATTCTATGTCTTCCATCAACCGGGTCAGGCACCAAGAAAGGTAAGCATCCCAAAACAAACCCCTATTCTGGTGAAAATATTGCTACCACAAGCCGAACAAGCAGATAGAACTCCCCTAAAAGAAACGAGCAAATGAGCATGACATCACACGTCGCCGCGCCGCTGTCTGTACAGCTCCCCCCCTCCCCGGGAGGGGGAAGGTGGGGAGCTGTGTCAGATTGTTGTGGGGTAACATTTTGCTGCAGTTTTGTGACCGGGGATGCATGTTGGGGATCGATTGTGGCATTTTTCGTGGTCTTATCTGGGGTCCCTCATTCCTTTCTCGTCTTGGAGTGCCTGGCTTAGCCCTTCCATGTACATTGGTTTCTCTGTACTTGCCTAGTTGTCCACACCTGGTTGTGCTTGCTGGGGTTGAGCTTTGGCTCTTTCGTCCTGCCTCTACCCTGTTACCTACCTGATATCTACTGGGCTCTGTCATGTCTGCACTTGCAGCTGTTTGTGGAGTCACCCTCCACCACTTCCCTTCCGTAGTAAATAGGTACCCAGGTGTTAGGTAACTCCCGGGTACCTATGTATCAGTCATTTGCCTAGGGAGACAAAGGAACAGGAAACTTTGTTCCTGATAAAGTTGTCAGAAGCAGTCTGTTCCTGACAACAGAGATTTAAATTACTGTAAGAACTGCAATGTTCCACTAATAGTCACACACCACCTCATTAAGTGTCCTGATTTTCATGATGAAAAATTTTGCTTCCCACTTTTTTTTCTCTCCATCTATTCCTTGTTAAAAATCTTTGATGAATCTTGTCACCTTGGATAGCGCATATCGTATATTCTCGCTCTCAGATTGGAATCCTGAATGATGTCTAGGAACTTGAATGTTCTGTGGTACAGTATAGATAGTATTTTATAGCCATAGTGCTTAGTGCTTTCTTTTTGTAATTGCCTTAATTGAGGAGGAGGGACGATTCCTAGAATGGTAAAGAAAAACAGTATGATACTGTACTTTTTTGATGTTTAATGTCAGTTAGGTCCATTACATCTCTAGGAAGTGTTGTATGTAGGAATTACCATTCCAATATATGTACTGTAGTATTTTGTAAATGTGACCCAACCTTGGAGTTTGGTGCTTGACCTAGCAGCCCCAGAGTCTGCTGGGTATCTTCCTAGGTCTTATACGTGACGCTGCTCATTACGGACAAATTGTCCATAATTACCATCATTCACAGAAAATATTCAAGAGTACGGCCTTGTATCACTTGTTGAAGCAAATATAGGCAACAGATACTCGAGTCACTTACAAACTCTGCCTTAGTATGACTCATAGTAGGTGGCACTTGTAACATTGGTTACCATAATATATAAAATATGACCCAATGGTTGAGAGCAGGGGATGATCCTCTCAGCATTGAATTCTAGTGAGTGTGATGAGCATTCCCCAGGACTCATAAAAAAAGTCTATGCATGTACTTTTACTTGAATAAAAATTTATTATTTATTATTATAAATAATTTAGTCCGAAACCAGACTAAATTCTGCCTGAATCGTTACGCGTTTTAATGGCTTTGCAAGAATGTAAGAACACCAATATTATGTACTGTACTCTCACAACCCAATATACCTTCTTAAATATAATTTAAAAAAAATAAACATAATCTTGGCTCGATGAGCAAGATGTGTGGGATGGATGGTAGGCATGAGGAGGAGGAGTAGAGTGAGTGATATGAGATGCTTGGCAGAGAAATGGTATGTTGTAGGGTGTTTTTTTACTTGCCCATCAACTCCACCTGTTTCATACCCCCCACAGATGCACCCATTTGTTCACTCTTATGGTCCTGATCTCTCTAGACTATCTTTGTTCACAATCTTATGCAACATTCGATTTTTTTTTTTTTTTTTTTTTTTACTTCCTCTTTATTAGATCTTATTCCAACCAAGAAACATGATGTAAGCAATGACACCGTGGTCACATATGTTGAAAGCGTTTGTGAAATCTATGTATATTAAATCAGTGTTTTGTTCATCTTGCATGCCATCTAAGGCCATGTCATAATGGTCTAGCAATTGTGAGAGGCAGAGCACTCTTTTCTGAATCCATATTGCCCAGGGTTGTATAGACACTGTGATTCCATGTGTTTTGTGATCTTGCTACTTAGCACTCTTTTTCGAAGATTTTCATGTGTGATGTTAGAGCTATTGGTGTATAATATTTTTGCACTACTTTACTACCTCCTTTGTGAAGTGGTGCAATTTCTGCTGTTTTAGCTATGTCGGAGATAAGACCAGTATCTAGACTCCATCTCGAAAGGATGTTTAGGGCCTATGATAATGGATTTTTGTAATTCTTGATATAGAATTCCAAGAGTCTGGGCCTGGTGCAGAGTGCATGGCCATTCTGTTTATGGCTACTTCAAAGTCGAGTGGGGTTAGGGTGACATCTGATACTATACATGGTTCAATGGTGGTTTCACATTCATAAAGAATTCATCTGGATCATCGATCTGCAATATGTTCAGGAGTTTACTGAAAACAGAAGCAGCAACTACTGCTGCTTGATAATAATAAAAAAAAAGTTAGCATAACTGAGTTAAATCAAAGTTGGAGACTATTGTGAGTGGTGGGACCTCAGTTTATAATATACAGCACTGTATGTATGTATTATAAATGATTTACCATGATTGAAAAGCAACATTGCGATGCTAAAACAGGCTCCATAAAACTGTTTATGGAGCCTGGCTCCATGTGCAGAATCTGTGGTGAGATTGACAGACACTGCCTTGACCACTACTTGAGAGAATGTGAACATCTAATATATTTGAAATGTGTAGTGTAATAAACCCCACATTGTTTGAGCTAGGAAAAATACTATCTGTCAAATATAAATGGTGTTCTCAAAAGATTCCCCTATTTTGCACTTGCAAGATAACGTAAGTTTTAAGGGTTGACAAATGTTAATCTTCTTGTTTCATATGTTGTTCACTTGAGACAGTGAAGCAAGTCTGGGTAAAAGTGACAATGAACAACCCAGTGAGTTTTCTCCCTATTGGGGGGGTGTTGTACATGCTTCTATGGCGGTATGTCCACTCACAGCATGAGTGGCGCTGCCCAATAAACTTCCCCATCAGGGAAAAATTCAATTGAATTAAATCACTTAGCGTATTCCAAGTGTTATCTACTCTGGCACTGAAAAAATCTATCTAGTGTCTCTGTGGCTCATTTGGGTACTTAGGTACATTTGTACCTAAATACCATTGATGTACATTGATGTACCAATGTACATTTGTACATTTGGGTACATCTGTCCCTTTGTTCCTGCACGACTTCTGCTAAATAGCCTCCTTGTTGGCTCTTTCTATTACCCTAGGCCTAAGTTTGACTGTAGACAAAAGTGCAGGAGGCAGGATACCATTCCTAGATGCTCTAGTGGATGGTACTTCTGGAAGAGTGAACGTACTGATGGATATAAGAAAAGTGTCATCAGTGCAGTGCATAAGTAGGAAGTGCAGTTCGTAC